CCCAATGTCAGTAAATCTTTGGTTTGATTCCTTTCGCTTGTCCTTGTGACTCTCTAATCAAACACCAAAAGACCAATGAGGTATACAAGTGACATATTATAGGCAACTAACAGCCAAGTGATAAATAAAAAAAAAACGATATATAAAGAGAAAGCTAGAAAATAATTAAGCTAAAAATTGTCGTCTATTATGAGGAAGACCATCAAATGAAATGTGTGGTGCATAGTATAGGGGGGCCATATCGGTTAGCAATTGGTTAATGTACATCTCCCTTTGATAGACGACCATACATTCACTTCATTTTTGTTCTAGTAACACCTAGCTTCAATAACAGTTAAAACTACTTTTGTAGGTCCTCCAAGTTCTTAGGTCGATCGGGAGCTAAAGATTTCTTTAACTTTTTTTTTAATCCATATTGAGGGTCTGTTCTCTTACGTTGAGATTCAGTTCAGTTCAGTTCAGCTTAGTTCAGCTCAGCTCAGTTTAGCTCAGCTTAGTTCAGCTGAGTTCAGTTAATGAGAACATGCCCTGATTAGTTGATGTCAAGTTTCACGTTGGAGGCTCGCACATATAATTGTACAGATTATTTGGGTTGTTAAGTCATTTACCTCGAATATCTCATGAACACTCAAGTTATATTGAATGAAATATGATATTTTAGTAATTTATTATATTGTTTACTTTTAAGAGTTTTATGTGATCAAAATTTAAAAAGTATGAAGTGATACTCAAATATAAGGCGAAATCTCGTTTACATCACCACATAATTGAGGAAGAGTGAGAGTAGTACAAACATCACCACATACTCTATAAGGTTTAATTAAGATTTAAGAATAGTTGAATCACTTTCAAATAAATCTAAGAGGAAAGAAATTCTTCAAGCTAAATTAAACAATTTATTGGTTTCTTATTGTTATAATTTGAAAAGATTTTCGGAGTATTAAATTAGTATCGATTTTATAAACATAAGAAATAAAGCTTATAATTTTTTTATGCTAAATATTGCTACTAATTTGAAAGGTACACATACTACACTTCAATTATTTAATTGATTGATGCTACAAAAAGAAAACCTTGTTAGTGCTTGAGAAAGAGTGGGATGAAAGATCAAGATTCTCGAATGTGCCAATACCATTGCAATTTTTTTATTTTTTTTTTATTTATTTATTTTTTTTTTTTTTGACAAAACCATTGCAATTTTTGTAATAAAGTAATTAATCAATAGCTACTTCAATGATTTACTTTATTATTAATGAATAGCTATCATTGCCGATTTTGTATATCGTGGTTAAGAAGAATTATACCGTGGTGGGGTCCATAATTTGAGACATAATTACAATTAGGTGACGAGAAGGATCCAGAATGATCGTTCACATGCATGCAATTTGTGTTTACTATATTCATTTTCATCTTTCTACGTACATTGTGCAACTTGTGCCCACTGGCCACTGCCCACTCCTCTTTAAAATACTACCTCCGATTCGTATTATATACAACTTTGGGGTATTATTTGTGAGATATAAAAAATTCCAAAGTTGCATGTAATATGATTCGGAGGTAGTAATATGTAAGATTTGTAAACCTAAAATGAAATGCAAACACTATATTCAGAAACAGCAAAATGAAACATATACATTTAATTTGAAACGAGTACATCATTACCTATATTGTATAGTATATTGTATTGATCACAGAGTAAGGATACTTTGGAGTAACTAATTTGGAGTAATATGGAGTACATTACTACACTACAGTCTACACTCTACAGTACTATACTAAATCACTAATAATACTCCATTATCTACGGAGTAGTTGCTAATAAATTTTAAAGTACTTGTATTGGTGAAGTCAAGCAAGTTTTTTAATCACTTAAGTTTAATAATGGTCTTGAATCTATAGATAAAAGATAATGACGTTCCTTAATTTTATGTATGCCCATTTGAAGTCAGATCAGCAATAAAAATGTCTGACAATATTTGCTATGTTCACATAATATAATTCGTGCAATACATACACTGGAAACATCAATAATTAAAAAGAACTCGTATTTTTGTACTCGTACCTTTTTCTATGACATAGATTAATAGATAGATAGCCCCTATCCACGTCTTGTTTAATAGTACTCGTACATACAACGTTCTTCTAGCATCTTCTACCTATAGCTTAAACTTGAGTTTTTCCCTTCACTGAGCTGAGATTTTAGTGATCTATTATTAGATCAGATCTACATCTATCCAAAGCTATGTGTTATATCTAACATTGTAGACCATATCATCATCTTTTAGGAAGGGTGAGTGCTATTATGCTATTGTGCTATTTAGGCTACATGTCCCGTTTTGTCGGGTTTAATTAGAGCTGTTAAAAGTTGACCCGACCCGAAATACCGACTCAAACCCAATAATTAACCGACCCATCTGAATCCGAAATAATGGTGACCCAAATCCGACCTGAAACCAACCCTAGACCCGAGTTAACCCGAGTATGTGAGATCCGAACCCGAACATGAACTGACCTGGAGATGACCCGACCCGAATGTAGCCCGTAAATTATTGACCTGAACCGGACCCGATTTGAACCAAAAGTGACCCAAACCCGTTTTAACCCGTCAAAACCCGAATTTTACCCGACTTGTTACTAACTTAACCTGAATTCTACCAAACCCGTTCCTAACATGACCCAAATTTAATCCAACCTGTTACAAACCCGACCCAAAATCAACCCAACTTGTTATTGACCTGACCCAAATTCAACCCAACTTGTTATTGACCCGACTCGAATTTTACCAGACCTATTACTAACCCGACCCAAAAATTCAACCCGATCTATTACTAACCCGACTTGAAATCAACACGACTTGTTATTGACCCGACCTAAATTCAACCCAAATTGTTCCTGACCCGATTTCAAATCACCTTAAATGCAATTTAGACCACCTTATATTTTTTATCAAAGCATTTTGTCTAAGGAGACCAAGTCAGTTCAGGCCAGCAAAAGAAAGGAACATCATCCTCAAATTTAAGAGTTAAATATAGTATATATTTGTTGTATGATCAAAGGAGATAATTATCTTACTAAATTATAAACTATATTTCCCTAATATATTGTCATATATATTATAGTCAAAGGAAATAATTAGCTTGATAAAAATGATAATTATCTATTTATAGTTAGTTGAACCCGAATATGACCTGACTTGGAAATGACCCAACCTGATTGTAACATGCAAATTATTGACTTAAACATAATCCGACTTGACTCCGATAATGACCTGACTTGAAAATGGCTCAACCTGATTATAGCCCTCAAATTATTGACTTGAACCGAACCTGAGTTGAACCCAAGAATGACCCGAATTGAAAATGACCCGACCTGATTATAACCCGCAAATTATTGACTTGAACCGAGCCCAACTCAAACTCGAGAATAACCCGACCTGATTCTAACCCGCAAATTATTGACTTGAACCGAGCCCAACACAAACCCGAGAATTACCCTAACTCGTGTTAAAACGTGAAAACCCGAATTAAAGCCGACATATAGTTCACCCGACCCAAATATAACCCGACCTGTTATTAACCCCACCTAAACACGACCTTATATATACTTTGATGTATACTCATTCTATATTTTATTACCTGTTATATTGAACTATCTCATGAACACGCAAGTTATACTGAATGAAATATGATATTTTAGTAATTTATTATATTGTTTACTTTTAAGAGTTCTATGTGATCAAAATTTAAAAAGTATGAAGTGATACTCAAATATAAGGCGAAATCTCGTTTACATCACCACATAATTGAGGAAGAGTGAGAGTAGTACAAACATCACCACATACTCTATAAGGTTTAATTAAGATTTAAGAATAGTTGAATCACTTTCAAATAAATCTAAGAGGAAAGAAATTCTTCAAGCTAAATTAAACAATTTATTGGTTTCTTATTGTTATAATTTGAAAAGATTTTCGGAGTATTAAATTAGTATCGATTTTATAAACATAAGAAATAAAGCTTATAATAATTTTTTTATGCTAAATATTGCTACTAATTTTAAAGGTACACATACTACACTTCAATTATTTAATTGATTGATGCTACAAAAAGAAACTCAACCTAGTTAGTGCTCGAGGAAGTGTGGGATGAAAGATCAAGATTCTCGAATGTGCCAATACCATTGCAATTTTTGTAATAAAATAATTAATCAATAGCTACTTCAATAATTTACTTTATTATTAATGAATAGCTACCATTGCCAATTTTGTATAACATGGTTAAGAGGAATTATACCGTGGTGGCCACACAATAAACTACTACTACTCCACATAGCAATCATAAAAGATGGCACACAATAATAATTTCCCCTACTCCGTATCCCATTCCCTACACGGCTACACAACACATTGACTACTAACTTAAAATTGTTGAAATCAAATGAAATGATTCTTAGAAGGAATAACAAATTAACATAACAACATAAAAGTGGGCTCCAAACTAAGAGAAACTTCATGTGATTATCAACCATAAATGACAATAATTAATTATGCAATGCAATAGTACGACGTTCAAAAAAAAAAAAACGTACTACGGATATTGACTAATTAAACTATTTGACTAAATAAATAAAATTCAAACCCCAAAAATCAATGAATTTGGGATATGAGGAAGTTAAGGTGTAAGTGTAAACAGTTGACCGTTTTGTTTGACAGCCGAAATTTTAATAGTGGCAAAAAACAAGTATTGGTGGTCAACATTAAGTCTTTAGCACATTACACATGTTATGCAACATTATTGTCCTTGTATCTTGCTGTATCTATCCAAGTCATGTATGGTATGTACGCGGTTCTTTTCATTAGTTGTGTTTATTTGTCATGTGATGCAAGCATCTTCGATTTATTATGTCACCTTTGTATTACAGGGGTTACTCGTCTGTATTATATAAATAACTTGATCAGTGTTATATAGATTACTTCTTCAGTTGTATAAGGGTTATTTGGTCAGTGTTACAAGGGCGATTCAGTTAGTGTTATAGGAATTACTTTGTTCATTTACAATCGGTAACAGTGTGGACAATCGTACATAAGATGGATTGTATCACTTATTTAATAACAAGAGAATTGTATCAAGTAATAATAAAGAAGAATCAAGTAGCAGGAAATCTCCTCCTCCAGCTTCAATTGGGTATATAAGAGCTGTACCATATCCAACAAGAGCGAGTTTAAGAAAGGTTTTTACCATTCTTTTGTTATACTGTGTTTCTAAAAACTCTGTTATTTTGCAAATTGAACTAACATATTCTTTTGATAATATACAGATGACTGAAAGAGTGAAGAGCCTATGGTGCAAAGCTCCGAGCAGCCAATCTATCAACAACTTGATCAAGCATTCTCAATCAATTCTTCGATAGTTTATCAACGCTTTGCTAAGAAAGATTGATCCTTGTATGTTCGTGGATTTTTATTACACGAAGCTATTCTTCAAATTTGAGGCTACTTTTGAAATTTCAAGGGATTCAGATCAAATTTTAAGATGAAGGCTGCACAATTTGGTGAAATGGATGTATGACTGATCACCTGATTTTAGAGGCAGCTGCAATTGAAGAACTGCATTGTTTCTGTGTGCAACATAAAGCCTAGAGCAATAAGACATACCGAATCAATGTTATACATTGCCAATGCGACTCCAGGCCCTTTAAAGTTGTGTACATCATGATCCTTTCCAGTTTCCATCCTCTGGGACTGCATGATATTAAAATCCACTTATCAAGGATTATATTATATTCTGTAGACAGTGATTTACCTGTGCTGCATTCCTATTGAGAATTGACTATAAAATGCAGACACAATTAAAGAGACGACAGTGTCTAAATTCATACGGAATACCAATTTAAGATTTCCAGGACCTGGGATGAGTGTATCAGTGGCCGGTGGCCCGATATTGATCACCAAAAGCATGTCTGCCAATACAAAAGAAGCCAAAGGACATGAGTGAAAGTGTTATGATTTAAAAGAGCATGACGGTAAGAACGATTTGAAAGGCAAATAAACATACCAGAAACAATCGTAGGAATGTTCTTACACAAGATTGGCTCACGGAAAACAGTCCCTACGGTTAATAATGCCTTCTTCAAAAACCAATCATTTGCCAAACAAGAGCGGTTAAATAAGGAAACCACATAATACATAAGCTGAGTTTGCCTACTGCCTTGCCAAGCACCAACTCACTAACAAATCAGCATCAGATTTGCCAGTTTTCAGAGAGGTAGCCAAAACAGAAAACTTTGATTGGAAAAACAGTCAAGGAAACTGGAAACTAGTTTTAAGATAAGTCCATTAGCATTCAATGGACTAAATCTATCTTTTTTACCATAACAAGAATAATAATTTTAGAATTACTGCAAATTTTAGCAGCAAAAAATTGAAAAGATTAAGCTTAAAATTAACAGATTTTTTAAAAGAATTAATAAAAAATTCAGCAATTCAACACATTCATAGAAATTCAGCAATTCAATTCAAGACATTATCACAATCATATAGCAATTAATTCTGAAACAAATCAAAGTACCAAATAACCAACACTACCAAAGTACCAATACTACAATGAAACACAACGATGAACAACCAAATTGCATCAACAAAAGTTAAATTCAATTAAACATAATCATGAATACCCAATATTAAACCCACCTTTAAAATTCATTAAAAGTATACACTAAAGCAAAAATAAACCCTAACTTCAGATTAATTCATTAATTATACTATCAATTAAAACATAAATTCAACAAAAACTTCCAAAATTCAACCAATCACAATGAAGCAGCCGCCGTTTACTCCGCTAGAACCACCGCTCCCCGGGCAACCATTTCGTACAATAATCCCATTTTCTGGATAAAAAAAATGGTTGAAATTTTAAAATTGAGAAGATTAAATTGATTGAAGACATTATTGTTTGATTTGGTAACATGGGGTAAATTAGAAAGAGAAGAAATTGATGGAATTTGCAAGAGGAAAATAGGAGTGAGAGTGGGAAAATTGATTTAGGGGTGTTTGGTCGGCTGGTTGATTGTTGCCTTCTTTCTTCACGCGTTTTACCTCTTCTTTTTTTTAAATTTTTTGTTTTTGGCACACGTGTAGGCCGCCAATGCCCGGTCCACATAAATAGCGAGTATGTAAAAAAATGAAAATAAAAAGGAATCAAAATATGGTCATACATGACTAGCATGAGTCGCAATCGGAGACACTGGAATCTTCCTTCAACGCGTTCACACTTCTTCACACGCTTCCCTTTCATTTTTGTTGCATATAAATTCCCCTCATTTTCTCTATCATTCAATTCAACTCTATCTTTCTCCGCTCACATTGCTTTGTGCTCTTTTTTTCCATCTTTCTCCATTTCTTTTAAATAAATTCAACTTTTCTTTACTTTAATTTATATTTATATAATCAATCTCATCAATTTTATATCTCATGGAAATTTCTTCATTCCCTTTTGACGATTTATCTCAGTTTTACCCAACACCTTATCCTCAAATTGCAGCTAATTCTCCCGTTGATTCTTCTCCGTTGAAAAAACAGAGATCCGAAAGCGAGAGTGTTGATTTTTTCTTAAAGAATACGGATACGGGTACGATTAAGGATATCCTCGCCTCCGTTCTTATGTTCGGGGACGAGGATGATCAAAACCATTCCCATTCCCATTCCCATTCCCATTCCCAACCCGGGTTCGGAATAGGAATGATTTCCGAAAATTACCATTTTACCCTTACTAATGAAAATCAAATTCAAAACCAAAATCAAATTCAGTCGACTGAAGCAGCAGTAACAGGAGTAGTTACTACTGCTGCTCAGCCGAAGCGAGGATTGAAACGCTCTCGCAATGCGGGTCAATCCTCGGCACCAGCACCAGCATCGGCGGTGAACCGAAGAATGTGGGTGAAGGATCGATCGAAGGACTGGTGGGATAAATGCAGTCACCCGGATTACCCAGACGAGGAATTCAAGAAGTCGTTTCGAATGAGTAAGGCTACGTTCAACATGTTATGTGAAGAACTCGACCCTCTTATTAACAAAAAAGATACAATGCTACGAGCCGCAATCCCGGTTCGTCACCGGGTCGCGGTCTGTATCTGGAGACTAGCAACAGGCGAACCGCTTCGAGAAGTATCGAAGCGGTTCGGCTTGGGAATATCCACATGCCACAAACTCGTACTCGAAGTTTGTACCGCCATTAGAAATACGCTAATGGCGCGTTTTCTCCAATGGCCTGACGACACTAAATTGGACGCCATCAAGGAGGAGTTCAAGTCGAAAACCGGAATCCCGAATGTGGGTGGTGCTATCTACACCACCCACATTCCGGTCATAGCACCAAAGGCCAACGTTGGTGTGTACTTTAACAAGCGTCACACCGAACGTAACCAAAAGACGAGTTACACCGTAACACTACAAGGAATGGTGGATCCTAGCGGGATATTCACCGATGTCTGTATCGGGTGGCCGGGGTCATTCTCCGATGAACACGTGTTAGAAAAATCGGCCTTGTTCAAGCGGGCAAGCCGCGGCTTGATGAAGGATATGTGGATGGTGGGGAACTCAAGCTATCCGTTAATGGATTGGGTGTTGGTACCATATAGTCACCAAAACTTAACTTGGGCACAACATGCTTTTAACGAGAAAGTTGGGGAAATTCAAAAGGTGGCAAAAGACTCATTTTATAGACTAAAGAAGAGGTGGGGTTGTTTGCAAAAAAGGACCGAAGTTAAGTTACAAGAGTTGCCTATTGTACTAGGTGCTTGTTGTGTACTTCATAATATTTGTGAGACGAGGAAGGATGAGATTGTGGATGATCCCGGGAACTCGTTCGAGCTTTTCGACGACGAGGTGTTGTCGGAGAATGTTGCAAAGTCGTCTACGGCGGTCCAAGCTAGAGATCAAATTGCTCATCATTTGTTGCACCATGGCCTTGGTGGCAACACTTTTCTATAGCTTTAGCTAAAGTTTTTTCTTATATTTATGTCATTTATTTATACAGTTATGTCAGAGAAATCAAAGGAATAGAAAATAGGAATGTAGGTGGGACAATAGAAGTGATGTAATTGGGATTTGGGTGTATACCATGTATTAAATTGATTATGTTACATTATTTTATAAAAATTTACCATATTCAATTCACAGGTATACTACGTCGTTTTATTGTTAATTTGCTAATTTATGTGTCTCATTAATTAAATCATGTGTCTCATTAATTTAATTATGTGTCTTAATTGCAAAAAAAAAAAGTGTCTTAATTACTCAAGCACCAAAACTTACCTTCAAAGTATACTACTGTTTACGTGGGCTAAGCTTACTGGGCTTTTGGATTTGCATATTACTTGAACACAAATTTGTAAGTGAATTGCATCAATTGATCTTATAAAGTTGTTACCAGTGCTATAAGTAGTATTTAAAAATTATTTATCTAATCTAAAGTGACAAGATTAAATGAAATACACACTGTTTGTGTAAGTAGATCTCAAAAGTCTTAGATAGGCTGTAGTTCATGCTGTTCAATGAGGCCATATTGTGGGCCTAAGGTCTTATCAACATATGGGTTTCTATTCTTTTAATCATACAAGCCTACACACATTATGCATTTTATTGTCATCTTTATAATTTAACAGAATTTATGTATCAATAGAAGAGTATATTTATATTTAATATTTACAATTGAATTGAAAGAATCATTATTTACAAAATAAATAAAAAAAGTTCTAGAACAATTGCTATGATTCTGTTGGAAATTTCATTATGCACTTCAATTGCAGCTGCCTCTAAAATCAGGTGATCAATCATACATCCATTTCACCAAATAGTGCAGCCTTCATCTTAAAATTTGATCTGAATCCCTTGAAATTTCAAAAGTAGCCTCAAATTTGAAGAATAGCTTCGTGTAATAAAAATCCACGAACATACAAGGATCAATCTTTCTTAGCAAAGCGTTGCTAAACTATCGAAGAATTGATTGAGAATGCTTGATCAAGTTGTTGATAGATTGGCTGCTCGGAGCTTTGCACCATAGACTCTTCACTCTTTCAGTCATCTGTATATTATCAAAAGAATATGTTAGTTCAATTTGCAAAATAACAGAGTTTTTATAAACACAATGTAACAAAAGAATGGTAAAAACCTTTCTTAAACTCGCTCTTGTTGGATATGGCACAGCTCTTATATACCCAATTGAAGCTGGAGGAGGAGATTTTCTGCTACTCGATTCTTCTTTATTGTAACTTGATACAGTTCTTTTGTTATCGACGTTTTTACTTCGTGTTATAATTGTAGAAGAGCCATTATGCAGCTTGTTATTACTCAACATATTTGGTAGGCTTGACTCCTGCAAAATGTAGTATCATTTCAACAATAAGATCTCTGATCGAATTACTCAGAAATCATCTAGCAATTCTGCATTGTATTAGATGAAATTAATACGGATTTTTTTTAGCTTACCAAGAAGAGGACTGTTGCACAATTCTTAAGGACCTCTAAGTTCATACGAACATCATCAAGGCTCCTACATGCATGAAACAGTAAGATATAAGATAGAATAAATTAGCCTTTGTTGTTTGTAGTTAATAAAAGTTGCATATATATAAAACTTTGTTGCACGAAAATGGAACAATCTTCAGGAAACGTGGAACACAAACTATAACAAGATATCAGTAAAATTTTCTTAACATAAACAGAACATGAAACATGATCTTCATGAGAGTTTCCGTGCATCATAGATTGAAACAAACAGGTTTTACATACACATACGATATACCTGTGCTTTTGCTGACCAAGTCCAAAGTAATTGGCCAATGATGCCATCTGAAACGATTAAAATGAAGAGACTCATCAACAAGCTAGTTTAACATAATGCGCGATTATTATTAAAAGTATTGGAATCATATTAATGTATGTAATGCTCTTAAAGATCGACATGATTGTTGAATGTAAAAGTACCTTCATATCACCAGCTCTTCTTCCAAATTTATCAGAAAGAACACCCAAAGAATCAATCATGCCAATTGGTTGAGGAGCAGGACGACCAATCTCAGCAAAAGCTTCCTTAATCCGAAGGCAATCAAATCTCTGAATATTATGACCAGCCCATATTCTTCCATCTAAGACTTCAAATATTTTGTCAGCAACTTCCTCAAAGGTTGGTGCTTTTATCACTGCCTCTCTTGTGATGCCATCACTTCGTGTAGACTTTAGCGCGACAACTGAGAGATCTCCCGGCTTAATGAGGGTGCAATAGCTCTCTATCTCCACAAGCTTTGAAGGGCATATTACCATTGCACCAAATTCTAATATCCAGAATCTTCTTTCATGGCCTGGTCCTGCTCTATTTGGGACTGATGTTTCTATATCGAAGAAAACTATCTCTGGTACGCGCTCTTCATCTCTATATGAAGCTGCCATGATCTCTGATTTTTCAAATGCTCTGATGTTTGCTCTTTTAATACGTATGAACAAGTTGGTTCTGGTTTTTTTGGTACTAGTTTTGGTTTGGGTGCGGTTTTAAAGCTTATTCTTTTAAAGGATGTATATATAGAATGATGATATAAAATGATTGATAATCCATTATATGTTCTGTATATTTATAGGCATAAGAAGAGAATATTTCTTCCTAGGCAAGGCTAACTGTCAAAGGAGTATAAGTCAAGTCATCTTGAGATAAGGGGAATTGAAGAAAGCAGTTTATTAGAAAACGTCTGTTTGTCCAACAAGTTAGGCAACTAATACCGGACAATAAACCTATGATGATGTCCTTGATGAATCAAATTAGAGGTAGCTTTTGTTAAAGAAAGGAGAGGGGATAGATAAAGGCGTGATAGGCTTTACACCTTTATTAGTTGCAGAAATATTAGACAATCTACCTAACCAGAGCACCAAATATATTATAATGCTATTTGGGGCCGGGATGAGTTTCGAAAGATGCAGTTAGCTGTTTTAGGAAGGTTTTTTTGGGTATGACAGCAGAGGAGGGAATATTTGTCCTTCTGGGTGAAGGTGAGATCTTTATGCAAGTAAAACACATGAACAAGGAAGACTTTTCCAAAGGGAAGAAAACAGAAGCAAAAGAAAGTCCAAAACATAAAAACATTTGTTATGGTACGAAAGCAAGCTACTACTTGTTATGCCGGAAGATTGGTAGCCAAGTTTACATATAATCAAATGATCTGATGCACGAAAGCTGAGTATTTGGATATATACCAAAAACAGGGATATTTAAGAGGAAATACTAGGTGACAAGAAAGACCTTTATCTAATTTGGAAGCTTTATATCAACATTTTTAATACGTCAGGCTATTGAGAATATACCAACAGGAATTCCACAGCAATTAAGGCATCTTTATTTGCACGTTTTTGAGACGTCATTTTTAATTTTTGATTATAACGTTGTTGAGTTCATCCTTAATTTTTGAAATGTGACACCACCAAATTTACTAATATACAACCATGATTATAGCCCGAATCTTTATCTTAAAGAATGTCATCAAATCATGTATGGAGTACTTTACAATTAGTAGTACAAGAAGTTCAAAAAACATGTCACTCCTTGAAACTTGAAAGGAACGAAGGGCAAGGGCTGTATTAAAAATTCACAAGATTTTTTTTTTTTTGAGAGAAAAAAATTCACAAGATTGTTCCTTGCTGAAGTTACATTATTCTTCATTTCTAATTTTTTATTTTCTTTTTAATATGCAAATAAATATTATAGTGAGCGAAATTGGGTTGGAAAAGATCAAAAGATAGCCATAAAATCAGTACTGTAAAATATTACAAAATCTGAAATGATGGGGGAAGAAGGTGCTCATATGATATGGGAAATAGGGGTAGGGGAGTACAAATTTTCAGTTGAAGAGCACAAATAAATTTAATTACATTGTAAACTATAACTCAAAACTATATACCTGGTATACAACAAGCCCAAAAGCTCTGCCTGATGTTCTCCGCGTAGTCTATAACAAATAGTTGAGCAAAACACAATTTTCCAAAAAATTAAAAAAGAGTAAAAAGAGAGTAAATTAAACCGTATAAAACACCCTTACAGGTTACAGGCCTACATCAATTGAAGTATTGAACTACAGAGCTCGAATTCAGATACTTAGATGCAGCACATGAAACTACACAACCCTGTACAGCTTATTTCTTTCTTGAGCCTTTATATGCTTGTTACAGCTATACTTCCACAAATCAAGCAAAACTATAATTCCAGCATGGCACTCTTGTTACCGGGTTAAAAGAGCAATGGTTACCAGTAGACCATCAGAGGTGGGAAAATTGACGTCGTGTATGAAACACATCTGAGCTCTTGGGCTACGAAAGAGATCTTCATCAATTCTGTCACTCCATATTGATCAAAACCTGGCCAAGGTGGAGGCACAACTATAAGATGCTGATTATAACTTACTGAAAATAAATCTAAACCCTTACAACCCCGGATAACTGGTATTCTATTTGATTGAAACATGCAGCAAAAGTTCTATGATAATGGATCCACTAAACCCAGAAAAAACATGTATTGTCAACACAACATTCATCCCCAGAGATTAAATACAGAAGATTCTTAGTCAGTTCTTTGCCATTAAATTAAGCCATGTGAACATAAAAAGCTTTATTAGTCAAGCGTAGTTATGAAAGTTGAGTAGTTCAAACTGAGCAAGGCTGTTTTCTAATTTTCATTTTCAATACTCATGTAGTCACGTGTAAAACCAAAGGCTACTGAACACCCCAGGATTTCATGATAACAATTGAACCCAACATAAAACACCTTTCCCAGTCCCTCCACTCCCTTCCTGTAACAAGGAAGAATCTTCAAAGGCAGAAGTTGTGAGAGTTCACCAGATTCCAAACCAATAATTACAAGTTAATTAAGGCAGGGCAAGGCCAAGACAAAGTAACCAGGTCAATGCAGGACAAGGGTAGACATCTAAGACTTGGTGGCAAAAGATGGACCAAAGCATGAAAGAGATGGTTCTGGCATCAGTTGGCCTCTTAGAGGGTGTAAGGGGAGCCTCTAGAAGCACCTCGATGCATAATTTTGCCAGGTCCAAAAACGTTCACTAGAAGCCAAATTTGGAAGAAATAATACACAAAATCGCACCAACTTCAATGATTTAGAGACCCGAGTAGAAAACTCACGGGATCGTAGGGGACACATCCCGGAGTCACAGAATGGTGCCCGGAACCATATATGGGATATTAATCGATCACATAAGGGGTCTATATGTAAAAGGAAAATTTGTCAAGAATAAGCCAACCTTTGTCTGGTTCGCTCAAAATAAACCAACCTTTCGATTAACTCAGAATAATCCAACCTTTATAGGGTATCCACTTTAAATGAGTCACGTGACCTGCAACCGGTTATTAATGTTAATTGTGACATGTGTTAGGATGTGGTTCGTCATTTTTCTAATAATAATTATATGGTTAATTATTAAAAATCTAATAATTATAAATTTCAAAAAAAAGAAAAAGAAAAGAAAAAGATCCCCAACCCACCCCCCTCACCCTCCCGTGGCTGCCGGTGGCCGGCGACCACAAAATTCCCCAGCGCCGACACCGACTGCCTCTCCCCCCACCCACTTCCCCTTCCTTTCCATATTCTCCTTTCCCCACCCCCCACCGGAGTCAACCCCTCCCTCCCCTTCCCCATCGTCAATCGACACTCCAAAACCTTTAAACCCCTTATTAGGGTTTCGTTAGGGTTTAAGGGGAGGGCGGGGTCGACATCAGCAGGGAAAGCGGGGGAGGGAGGTCGCATTTTCGGCGGGAGGGTGAAGGGGAGGGGGTGGTGTCGTGTCTGGGGAAAGGAAGGGGAAGGGGAGCGTCGTGGGTGGGGGAGAGGCCGTCGGTGTCGGCGCCATGGAGTTTTATGGTCGCCGGCCACCGGTAGCCTTGCAAGGGAGGGGGTTGGGGATTTTTTTTCCTTTTTTTTCTTTTTGAAATTTATAATTATTAGATTTTTTAATAGTTAATCATATAATTATTCCTAATTAATTATTATTAGAAAAATGACGAACCAAATTCTGACACGTGTCACAATAAACCTTAATAACCGGTTACAACAGGTTCTAACTCATTTAAAGTGGATACCCTTTAAAGGTTGGATTATTCTGATATAATTAAAAGGTTGACTTATTTTGAGTGAACCGAGCAAAGGTTGGCTTATTCTTGACAAAATTTCTTATCTGATGAAGTTCTTATATAGGGTACTCCAGTGATATTTCCTCACTTATATAGTCTTTTCCCCTATTCTTTAAGCTGGAAGAAAGAAACCCATAGGAGAGAGGGGAAAGCAAGCTCCCAATTTTCCTTAGTTCATTATTCACTTAACTACTACCAACGCAAGCATAGCCAAACATTTAAAGGCTTGTTTGACATCATTTTTGGTTTTTAGTTTACTGTTTTTTTTAAAACTAAAAACCAAAAATAGGAAACAAGAAAAAGGTGTTTTCACTTTTTTGTTGTCAGTTTTCAAAATTATTATGATTTTAATAAGTTTAAATAATTTTTTATTCATTATGTGACATATATCATATATTTTTATACAACAAAACACCAGAAAACCACAGCAATGTCAAACGAACCCTAAAAAAGAGAAACTAATGCGTGCATGACTCAGAGGCATACACCCAAGTTGGCAGCAAACCTACTACCTTGTATTTGTCAATTTGTGTGCCACCAAGCAGTCTCCTAATCCATGTAAGAAAAAAAGGCCAAAAGACCAAAGCGCTACATCTACAAGTATATAAAGGTCGTCCAAAAATTGTGAATCAGCAAGCCAGTCCGACCTATTCAGCAGTTGACATTGCCACCCTCCAAAAATAATACCATGACTCTGAGCACATAACTACAAAAGTTTCATACTTTCATCCCACCATGTCAAAGTCGCTTTTGTCTTGCCACAAAGATCCCAATTTACACACTCTGACTACAAACTTTCGCTCTAAAGTTAACGGCACTAGGCATTAACATCTTAACACAAGGAGATTACCGGTAAATACTTGGTCCTGATCACCCCTCTAATTATGTTTGTCATAGAAAAATTACTGCATAAGGAGTTTCATAGTCACAGAACAATAACTTCGAGCAGTAAACAAATGAACTACACACAGGCACACAGCAATACAGCATGGTTTCAAGAGCCAATGTGATATCATCGTCTTAAACACACAACTTAGAGTAACACAGCATCAGCAGCTAAAATTTAAAAGAAACCCAGCTTATTTCACCTGCATTGACCTCATACAATAACATCTATCATCTCAAACTCAAAACTACAACCAGAACACACTCATAATCCACATCAAAAATCTAAATCGGATATCACAATTCAGAACAACCCAATATCAAATGTAGCTAAATTCAACTAAATTTGAAGCAATGAGAATGATTCATTACCTCAAATCCGGGTACAAGACGGATCAAAATCATCAGGAGCGAGCCGAGCAATCCAATTACTAAGAGTCTTCTTAATATCAGTGTGATTAACATAAGCCAATTCATACATAGAACAAAGATTAACAATCAAAGTTTCATTAAGTGCCACAGTAGGAACCCTCTCAAGCGAATTCTCCAAAACCTTAATCGAATCCGATAAATCCCTCAAATACATCAAACACAAAGCCTTATTATTGATCGCAACAACATCGGAACCATCTCTTTCAATACATTCATCATACTCCCTCACTGCTGAAACATAATCTTTCCCAACCATATAAATCAACGCCTTATTTCTCCCCACCAAATTCTGAACTTCAACACTCAAATTCTCTTCTTTCTCCTTCATCAAATCCTCAACCTTCTGAAACGACAATTTCGCACCTTCCAAATCCCCAAATTGCAACTGCACATACCCTAATTTCGAAATCAACGACAAATTACCCATATCTTTCTTCAACATCTCTTTAACCAAAGAAAAACAAACCCCAAATTCCTTTTGATTCGAATGTTGACTAATAATCGTCGACAAAACGAAATTCTCTCTCCTCCTCCAAACCTCCCCATTACAACCCTCATCAATGCGAGCTCGAACAAATTGCAGAAGAAGATACAACCGGTCCAGAGAATCGGCCCGACGACCCAGAAAAGAAGGGAGAAGAGCTTGAAGCCATCGAAGAGAAAAGGGAATCATCGACCCGGTTCGATTCGGGTAAACATTCGGGTATGATTCGTAACGGTAAGAAGAATTGTCGAGATTTTCGAGGGAAGATTCAATGTCGTCCAATGCGTCGGAGTAGCGACGGAGTTTGGAAAGTGCGACGGCGTTGAAGGCGAGGTAGACGAGGTGTTCGTGAGGGTATCGGAGTTGAGAGAATGATCTTGCTGCTGATACTTTTTCGAGGATTGTTTTCCATGATCCTCGAAGTGCGAGTTCGTGGAGTGAGTTGATTTCGTCGGTGATTAGATTATCGGAGGTTTTAGTGTCGGCGACGCCGTCGGCGGCGGCGGTAGTGGTGGTGATTTGTGCGTCGGAGGTTTCCATCGTGACTTTGTGAGGAGGTTTTTGATGGTGGGATCTGAGTTGAATAACAGGGGGTGTTGGGTTTTTTTTTTTTTTGGGTAATAGTGAAATGGGCTGTTGTGTCGGCCCAATTCGGCCCAATTATATTATTTGAACTTACTAATTGAACTCAACTTTGAGAGATAGGACAACATACATATGAAGTGGGATAGTTTCAGCCACCAAAATAAGTATGGGATCCTTTGAGAAGCATGAGAAATAGTCAAATAGCTCAATGTCTAACCTTGTTCAATTTGAAAATGTTTTCCTGGAGGTTGTAATAAAGACTATAATACATAAAATTAGATAATTTTTGGAGGTTTTTGGAATTTGGTGTCAAAAGCTCAGGTAATGGTGAGGGATGTCTCTGCGGTGATAAATGATTGTTTGAGATTATATATCGCTTATAGGTTAACTAGTCTGTCACATAAAAAACTAAGATGACTTTGAGTTAATGACGAGAGGTGTGTTTGCAGTTAGTAGCTAACTAATTTTAAGTTATGTGGCAAAGTAAATGGTTCCAACCACCAAAGTGATCTTCTATAATCTTATGGAATCTATGGGAAGCATCTCGTCTTCTACTATTTTCATTTGAAAAACTTAAAAAAAAAAAAAAAAAAAAAAAAAACCCTAAACTTAATTAATACACGTTTCACATTGATCTTTTATACCGCCCCTTCTCTTCATTCTTTATTTTAAACTTAACCCTCTTATTCAAACACATCAAAATTGTTGCATTGATTGTATGATCTCTAATGAAATAGTTTCAAGTCTTATGACTACTTAATATGGAGGTCATTGCCATTTGTTATACAGTATTGCTCATTGTTGTAGTTATCCACCAAATTATACAAGTCTTTCTTTAAAAAAGACTTTCTTTTATTATTCCAAAATGTTGGCTTTACTTGTTCAAATTCTTCCAAAAAAATCAATGGAGGAATATTAATCATTATCATTATCATATTAATCAAATCCATGCAATAGCTTAATAACTTTTATTTATAGTCACATCAATTTGTATTTATTATAGTTAGAGGTTGTTATCCCATACACAATACACATACAATAATCTTATAGTATGATCTCATTGATTATTTGTTTGACTAAAGAACAAATAGATTTATGCATGTTTCAAGCAACTATATATTTTTATTGCAAGTAGCCAAGTAGCAACGAAATGAAGCAACGAATGAATCCAACAACTCCGTAGTTAATACACAAATTACGTAACAATGTACTTTATAATAAGAATATTTCTTGTATATACTTACTGGCGAGTATGATTGAAGGAGACATATTTATATCTTAATCTGATGGCCCGTTATGGCCCGTATGGGCTTTCATGGGTTTGCATTTAATTATGTAGATCAAGGTGTTTGAAAATTATACCCTACATCCTAGTGTAGGATGGTCTACCTACACCCCTGATGCTACGCCATTTTGTAGCTTGCGGGGAGTACTCACGAGCTAATTCATGCTTCAATTCTTTCCTTTTTTTTATTTATTTTTTTAATTCCTTGTTTCTTATTATTCAAGCTATGTATATAAATGATTTTAAACCCAATATTTTCTCTCTCCTCAATTGATCAATTTCCATTTTTCTACCTACATTCTCTCTAGTTAATTCATCTTCTTCATTTGATTTTATACTAATTTTGCCGTTTATTTTTCCTACGATTTTGATAATTGTTGTTGATCGTCAATGGCTGATTCTTCCTCTGCTAATTTCGATCGTGATTACGAAAGTGTGTTTCCGTCTTCTAGAGTTCGATTGATTGATTCGTTTGTTCATCAACAATGTGAGTAATTACAATCATAATTTTGTAATTTTTATCATCAATACATTGTTGTGTTATAATGCTCTGTTTATTTCAACTTAATTTATGTATTATTATTCTTTTCGTTGCTTCAATTTTCAAAATTTGATTATGATTATGATGAACGTTTTTGGATTGTTCATACTTTGTTATGAATATTTCGCTGCTTCAATTTATTTCATTGCTCTATGTTTGAAAATTGCGTGATTTTGTTTTTATGCTTTTATTTTTTTTTTTGGATCATTTTTATATTTAAAATTAATCAATTATGTGTTATCATTTGTACTTCTTAATTTTTTTATGTCATATATGATTATTTGTTTTTACCATTTTTTCTTGATAATATTATGTGTCAAAATTTTCCATATTGATCATGTGCAATTTTGCTATTGAACATTGTATTTGTTAATTATTGTTCATTTTTGAAACATGTTATGTTCATTTATAATTGTACATTAAAACTTTGTGCAATGAGAAAAAAAACTGATATTTCATATCTTGCTAAGGTTTTGATCTTATCTGTTTATTTAAGTGTTTGAAATTGAACATTTATATATTTTAATATGATCATTTAACTTTTATTTGAAGGCGAAGGATTTAGTGTTTAAAGGATTTAATATGATCATTTTTTGAAACTTGTTATGTTCATTTATAATTGTATATTAAAACTTTGTGCAGTGGGAAAAAAAGCTGATATTTCATATCTTGCTAAAGTTTTGTTTTTCTTATCTGTTTATTTAAGTGTTTGTAATTGAACATTTATATATTTTAATATGATCATTTAATTTGTTTTGCAGTCGAAGGATTTAAATATTCCTATAAATAAAAGTGTTGCTGGTGTTTCTGCTGCTCAAGCTCAATGTAATGTTCCTATAAATAAAGGTGGTGCTGGTGTTAAAAATGATGCTCAAGTTAATCCAAGAGTACTAATGCGTCTACAAAATCTCAAACTAGATATTTTGTTCCACCCGTAGTTCTTGGCATTGTTCCAACTTCAACTCAGGATTGTTCAAACTTCAATCTAGAAATGTTTAAACCCCATTCCAGAAATGTTCAATCGACAAATGTTTAAGTTATTCCTCCCACGGTTCCAATAAATGATCAAGGTGCTCTTGTTCAAAGTTCTTCAAGTGTTAAAGACATAAGAATTTGTTTCTATATAGTACCTTTTTTAGTATATTGTTTTTTTAAAATTCAACATATGTAAATGATTATTTATCAATTTGAAAATGAACAAAAGTAAAGAACCAACAACCAATTCATAAAACCTAAAAATTATATATATTTTTTCATACAAATAAAGATTAAAATGAAATATCAATTACAATAATTTTTTTAACAAATAATATCTATAAGTCTATTTTCCTCCAAAAAAAATCATCTATAAAACTATATACTTCCTCCGTTTTCTTTTACTTGCAACACACCTTTTAGGCACGCAATTTTAGGAGATGATTAGTGAGGGTAAACGAGCTATTTTATCAATATAATTTTTACACGAAGATTAGAATAGGGTTAAGTATCATTTGTAAAAATTATAATGAATAATTTATCCGTTTACATTATATAAACCCGACCTCAAAACACGTGCCACAAGGCTGTGTTGCAAGTAAAAAGAAATGGAGGAAGTTTAAGATATGATCATATACACATTCATTAATGAACATATACACTTTCATAAATGAACATATAACATGTACTATTCATTTGCAAACTTCCTTGCTTATCTTCGATTTAACCTATATTTAGTGTTTTTCTTCAAATAACATCAGTTCCGCATCCTTGCTTCCTAATTTGGTTCACCTGTTGAACAAAATGAATTAACAAATGTTAATTATTATATACACTACTTTATAAATGAACAATATATCTTACATTATTGAACATTTATCACTTTTACACTATTTGGTTTCAAATCACAAATCTAACTCTCATTAAGTTTAGTAGTGAATGTTTCTATATGCTTCATAATTTATACTCCGCAGTTTGTATAATCAGCGTTGTTAAGCCATTTTATCTTCTCCAAAACAACTACGTATTCTTCAATTCCATGTGCAAATTTATATCAAATGTGTAACTTTGGACATCACTACAATATAGCTAGATTGGTTGTAAGATATTAGTTTTAATGCATACAAATGAACATTCTCAATATTATACATGAGGATAATGTATAAAAGAAATGAACATTCGTTATTTAGGCATATAAATATATATGTAAACTGAAATGAACCAATATTAACATATATTTTAAAATGAACATTACTTTATATGTAAATGAACATTATGAATTTCATAAATGATCAAAAGATTTGATAGAATAAATAAGTCAGTTTCTCAACTCAAATGAATGATTATTTATGCATTTCATAAATGTGCATAACATATCATAAAAATGAACATTATTTATTTAGGCATATAAAGTCAAATATAAACTCAAATAAACTCAAATATACAAATGAACATTTATAATTCTATATATGTTCATATATTAACTCGGAATCGTAGAAATGTTAACATCTATACCATAAGACTTTTTAATATCTTTTAAAAGTTCTAGATCTACAACTTGAGACTTTTGTTCGTTGTTTTTTTTTTAAAAAAAAATTTCTACTCTTGTTTAAATAGGTTTTTGAAATAATACTTACGTTTCTTCAGACTATGCCTTGTTATGTTCAACGAACATGATTCTTCTCTGAATCATCATTCTCTTTATCTCTCTAATTCGAAATATATTTTTCGGTTCTGTAAAAAATAAAAAAACACAAAACATAGTAGATTTTAATGATTTTTGCATAAAATAGTTCTAATCAAGTTAGATTATGTTTCTGAACATGTAATTTCAAAATGAAATACGTAGTAGAAAAAATAGGTTCATACAAAAAAAATTAGTAAAATTACTTACTCTTTCTGTGAATGTTGTTGCGATTGTTGAATTTCTTCGCAAATGTAGACATTTGAAGGAATTTAGCAATATTTTGAAGCAATTTCGTAGTATTTTGAAGCAATTTTGTAGTATTTTGAAGCAATTTTGGTTCATATTTTCTAGTTTTGATGAGAGAGAAAGTCTAGAGAAATGAAGAAGAAGGTTTTAGAGAGAATGGTAGGTAGTTACAGTAGGTTAGTGGGTTATGGGATGTGGGTAACATGATAAACGCATCGTTTAGAGGGGGGTGTAGGTATCCCTACCTACACTAGGGTCTAGTGTATACCAATTACAAGGTGTTTTGCAATCCTTTTTTATTTTGTTTAATATGTGATGATAGTTGAAGAATTGCATGAAATCAATAAATTAAAGACCAAGCAAGAAGAATTGAGTAGACTTTAAAAGATATTGTAAGTTAATGTTGATTTGAACATGCTAGAATCAATTTTTTGCATAATAATAATGAAGCATATTCGATCGATAAATGTAGAGACTTTGACTGTATTACGAACTTAACTAAATTATTTTAACTGTTTGATTTTACAACTGCAAAAGTAACATTATCAAAATTATTCAACTAGTATGCATCAAAGATTAATATGACACGAAAGTGATCAGGGATGGTTCAAGTGGTTAAAGCTTTTTTCTCGGTCCTAGGAGATCCTTGACACAAGTTTAGTGAAGTATTACTGGTGTATGGGTCAAACTATATACACCTAATCTATGATCTAATTTCATTCTACCTATATTCTAATCACGAAAAACGAAAATTTTGTTACCTTAGTTGCCACTTCATCGTCTTAGGTAATTTAATAAGAAATGTATGCCTATACTTCTCAACTATTTAACGCTTTCATTTTTATCAGGAAAAAAAAAAAAAGGCTTAAACCCCCTGTGATGCACATACACTTATATACTTTGTATATCTTATAGTTGACTTAACGTGTGAAATTTCTAGTGACTTCACATTTGGGATTGAGTATCCATAAACGGCATAAGTTTAATTGAAATGTAATTGAAATAGAAGAAGATAAGATCAGAATATGCCCCACAAGCCATAAACCCATTAAGAAAGATTTTGGAGACAAAAAACAGTATTTCAGTAAAAACGACTAACAAGATAATATCTACTTGTACATATCATGCATGTTGTACCTCATATAAAACTATAAAAAAAAAGTGTATTTCCTCGTGTTTTAATAAATGTTATACTTTGACCGTTATATAATTTTAGACAATTTAATTGACTTTAATAAATGTTATAAGAGTACATCTTTGGCATTTGCAAGTCTTAGTCATGATAAGAGAACTGTCAAGTGACTACAGGGTGAACACATAGGATTCTAGGGAGATAGAATGATGCTACAAAAGATTGATGTAATAATTCAAAACAGAGGTAATAGTTTTTTGCCATAAAAGAATTTGCGAGATATAAAATATTCCAAAGTTAAAATTAATAAAAATCGAAGGTGGTATAACACTTGTTAAAACATGACCGAATTTGATAAGTGTAACATTGATTAAAATACAAAGGAAGTATTATTTTATAATTGTATTCCCTATATGCGAGATCAATTGTTGAATAACGCGTAAATTAGATCGTCTTGTCTTGTACTTTAGTGTCAACTACTACAATGAGTGACTGAGACTGTCTGAGAGTGTGAGTTGCATACAATATAAAAATAGAAAGTAGTACTCTGGAACTTATTTTATCTCCAATATTAATAGATTATACTATTATAATGAGAAAGATGATAAAAGTTTGTGAATTATTCTTTGGAACGAACATGTCAATTATTGAACCTTCTTTAAAAGAAATAATACACGCATGTGATTGATTAATTGACCGAGTATAATAAAATTAGATTAAAAAAGATCTTACTTTAGTGGTTGAATCTGAAAACTCGTACACTGGTACACAGATTTCCCCAACTACGTTTTCAGTTTTTAAGAGTTGGTTCAAACAAAGGGATTTTTTACCAAAGTAAGCTTAATTGGCAAATAATTTATCAATCTAGATGCGTGGTCAAACTATTTACGAAACTGAGCTTCTGACATAAAACGCTGCCTCGGTCAGCGTTTTACCTTTGGTTATTATTTTTTTTATAAAATTTCGTATTATGTGAAATACAAATTTAAAAAAATTTTTGGAAATACAGTAAAACGCTGACTCAGTCAGCGTTTTTCTTGTATCCATAACAGAGAAAAACGCTGACTGAGTCAGCGTTTTACACCTAAGCATAAAACGCTGCCTCAGTCAGCGTTTTATCTGCTGGCTGAAGGCAGCAACAGCAGGCCCCCAACAACAGCCAGTGCAGCCCCCTTCCACATCCACCACCCTCTCCACATCCACCAACACCACCACCCTCCTCCTCCACATCCTCCACCACCCTCCTCCTCCACATCCACCACCACCACCACCACCCTCCTCCTCCACATCCTCCACCACCCTCCTCCTCCACATCCACCACCACCACCACCACACTCCTCCTCCACATCCACCACCACCATCACCCTCCTCCTCCATATCCTCCAACACCTCCACCACCCTCCTCCTCCACATCCACCACCTCCACCACCCATCCTCCTCCATATCCACCACCTCCACATCCACAATTTATTTTGAACGAAATGAGTCAAACGTGGACAAATAAGGAATTTGAAATTCAAACAAGACATAAATTCATTCAAACAATTATTCAAATAATAATGTAATGTAAGTGTTATGTACAACAAACTAGAGAAGGTCATTACAGCAAATAAATCAGATAATTCTATCCTATTCTGACTCATCAATTTGGTGTAACGGGTCTCTATCCTGTATGTCCACTCTCGGCCTTTGACGACGGCTGTAGTGACGGACCGTGGTAAATGGGTTCGGGCGTACTGGCGGAGTCAGCTGGCTGGAAGATGGGTCATCAGGATGACGTAGGGGCGCGGAACTGCGAATGTCGTACTCCTCTGCGCCCGTGAATGACGAAGGATCACCCCCACAGCTACTCTGGCCAGCCTCGAACTGTGAGTGACTAGAGTGGCCGCCATGATCGTCCCGGGGGTGGACGAGATAGGCGTGACCATATCTCTGCAAGGTAGCCATGCCCATATCTCGCACCCGCTCGACCTATGCTCTGGGCGGCTCAGGTATGCCTGGAAGGACGTCCGACAGTGCGTCAACCATCGCCGTCATATCCAACGCCTGCAGTAATTAAGGATGAGTTAGTTGAATGATATACAAATTTAAAATTGATAAAAATAAGTTAATCAAATACACTTACATATCCCCTGATCACGTCAAAGGATGGATGGTAATGTGCGGATGGCGGTGTGTAGCTGGGGTTGATGAAACGCCGTGTAATCCGCATGTACCACTCCAATTTAGGGCTTTTATACTAGACAATTATCAAATTACAACAAACCAACTTAGAATTATCAACATAATTGTCAATTTATATCAAACTAACTTAGAATAAACAACAACATTATCAAATTAAAACAATGTAGTATATAATTATCAAACTAACCTAGGTTTTTAAATTTTAAAAACAAATAAGTGAGAAGTACTAACAATGTGATTATAAAGAAGAGGAGAGGCGCGGCGGCAGCATGCAATAGGCGGCGGCGACGGCGGCAGGCAGCAGGCGGCGGCGGCGACGGCGACGGCAGAGCTTTGAGGAAGATAGGCTATTGCGTGAGGAAGAGTGAGTTTGAGTTTTTAGTTTTGAGGAAGAGTGAGTGCGCGAAAAATATACCAGGCAAAACCGCTGACTCAGTCAGCGTTGTAAGGGCTGACAAAAACGCTGACTGAGGCAGCGTTTTAATGTATTTCCATATTTTTTAAAAAAAATTTGTATTTCACTAAATAAGAAATTTTAAAAAAATAATAACAGAGGCAGCGTTTTACCTCAGAAGCTCAATTCCGTAAATAGTTTGGCCACGCGTATATATTCGTAAATAGTTTGCTAATAGGGCTCAGTTTCGTAAAAAATCCCAAACAAAGTAGGTGAGGTTATGTATCACTTCTTTCCCTATCTTCTAGTCTCTCTCTCTTTCCTCCTCAAGACTATGGGGCAAATTCGACGGAATAGCCAAAATAGAAAACGGAAGAGACCTAGCTTAGTGAGACGTAGAGATAACATTATTATTCAGTAGACTGGCCGTGACACGATTTAATCCAACACGAAAAAAGTATAACATACATGACAAGACAAGATATGTTATTGTGTGAGTAGGACTATACGAATATTATATGTTTAAGAAAACACAATACGATACAATTAGTTCCCACAAAGCGTGCACGAATAAATTAAATACAAGTATATAAATACGCTATAGTGATTTGGTACATGGACTTAAATAATACATGAACCACTTTTTAAAAAATATGGACATAACATGAAGTTGGTAGGTTTAGTTAGGGGTGTCAATTCGGATGATCGGGTCAGATCTGATATGATCGGATCGGGTCAATTTTTAAAGTTAAGTCATACTAAATTGTTATGTTCACGCGAGTTCAAATCTGAATCGAATATTTTTCGGATCAGATCGGGTCGGATCGGGTATGTTTTTGACACCTCAAGGTTTAGTTTTGGGTTGAAGCTTAAATAAGCCCAAGACATATAAATCACACTAGCTTGGACAGTCAGACCCAAGTATAGTAGGACGGAGGCAGTATAGGTGTGTAATTGTATGTATATTTCAAAACCAACTTTTCTAGTCCCTATCCGGTAGTCAAACATACACATACGTATACAGACATTACATACAATTTTATTATATTATACAATAGTATGGGCACACAGTCACACAAACACTAATTGCCTTTTGCTGCAAACTAATAAACGGAGTACTAGCTATTACTTTACCGTCCATCTAGGAGATACCATAAACAAATAGAAACACGGTTTAAGAATATAATAATACTACGTAATCGTAATCATCTGTTTTAATAAAAAGTGCAAAGTTAAAGTCAAGATATTTGACTATCAAAAATGGTAGACATTATGAAGTAACCCAGAAATATCAATATGTATTAACTACTACGTAGGACAGCTAGCTACAAGTGTATTGATATTTTATTACAAACTATATATATAAACTACGCAAACTCAAGCTTATCAAAAATATATGCACTCCTTTCTTGTAAAACCAAACCACCCTTGGCTAGCTTTTCCCTCTACTCCTTGTGCTAGCTAACTGCCCTCCCAGCCACCACGACCGCGACGATTACCGTGACTAACAAAAAAAAAAAATCTAGTTAGTCGACGATGGCGACCAATGGATGTAGAACGGGTTTAAAGTGTCCTCTATATTATGTGCTATTTATGATAATATTGAGTACATGTACCGTAGAAGCCAAAACAAGATATTACAAATGGGATGTAAAGTATGAGCTCAAGTCACCAGATTGTTACAAGAAATTAGTGATTACTATAAATGGCATGTTCCCTGGACCTACCATCACTGCTGAAGAAGGTGACACTATTGTTGTTGAAGTTACCAATAACTTGGTTACTGAAAATACTGCCATTCATTGGCATGGTATTAGACAGGTTAGTTTACTTAATAATTTGCTCATTTATTAGCTTTGTACTTTTATCTTTAATTTTATTTTACCTTAGTATTATGTGTATTTTTTTTCATATGCTCTTTTTTATTAATTGGTTTACGTGCTTTATAGATTGGAACACCATGGGCTGATGGTACCGAAGGCGTTACTCAATGTCCAATTATTCCCGGAGATACTTTTGTATACAAATTTGTTGTTGATAGGGTAATTTTTTTAATTATTTATTTATTTTTTACTAAAACATTAGACTTCATTTAATCAAATTTACGTGTTTGTGTACAAAATTCCCGAGTTAAAGATTAGTAAATATTATTTGTCATTTTATTAAATCTAATATACGTGTTTGTGTACAAAATTGAACAGGCGGGCACATACTTATACCATGCCCATTACGGGATGCAGAGAGAAGAAGGATTGAACGGTATGATCGTCGTTTCGGTTCCTAAAGGACAATCCGAGCCGTTCACTTATGACTTTGATCGTAGCATCTTGCTAACAGATTGGTACCACAAGAGTGCTCTTGATCATACCGTAGGCTTGAATTCCAATCCATTTGTTTGGGTTGGTGAACCTCAGGTATTAGTCAAACATGTTAATTAGAATTTTATTTTCTCACTTAATTAACAGTCTTTATACGAGAATATAATTTTATATTATAAAAAATAATGTATATTCGTGTTACTTTAGGCCTTTAGCTATAAAATTCAAATGGCTAATTCAATTCGTTACATGTTTGTTTAATATGTTATAGTCGCTCCTTATACAAGGAAGAGGCAATTTCAATTGCTCAGCCGTCAGCATTGCTTCGGATCCAGATGTCTGTAACGCTACACGTCCTGAATGCACCCCGTTTGCCTTGACTGTGGTTCCTGGGAAAACTTATCGCCTTCGCATTGCTAGCTTAACTTCTTTGTCTGCACTAAACTTTGAGATTGAGGTAACAATTCATACTTCATGTGTAATTTACTTTTTTTTTTTTTTTCTTACTTTTTTTATATTTAATTATTTTGTTTATATTATTGATTATAAACTGATGATATGCACACTTGTATATGTTACCAGGGGCATAACATGACGGTAGTCGAGGCAGATGGACATTTTGTTGAGCCATTTGTAGTTAAAAACTTATTCATCTACTCAGGAGAAACCTACTCAGTTCTAGTAAAGGCCAACCAAGACCCATCAAGGAACTATTGGGCTACAACTAATGTTGTGAGCCGAAAGCCCGGAACTCCCACGGGTAAAGCCATCTTTAACTACTACCCAAATCGACCAGAACAAGATCCACCAACTACCCCCACCACAGGCCCCATGTGGAACGACTCTGAACCAAGGTTAGCCCAGAGTCTAGCAATTAAGGCGCGGGAGGGGTTTATTCAACCCCCACCCGCCACCTCAGATAAAGTGATTATTCTCCTTAACACGCAGAACAAGGTCAATGGGTTCACAAAATGGGCCATCAATAATGTATCCTTCACCTTGCCCACCACCCCGTACTTGGTGGCTCTCAAGGATAACAGGTTGAGGAACAAACTCCACCACGTGTTTGACCAAACACCGCCTCCAACCGGCTACGATTGGCTAAACTATGACATCCACGTTAACCAATCCAATGTCAATGCGACCTCTAGTAACGGTATCTACCGTAACAAGTTTAACACGACTATTGACATTGTGTTACAAAATGCAAACATGATCAACCCTAATTACAGTGAAACTCACCCGTGGCATTTGCATGGGCATGATTTTTGGGTGTTAGGGTACGGTAAAGGCAAGTTTGACCCCTTCAATGACCCGAAAAAGTACAACTTGGTAAACCCGATAATGAAGAATACGGTTCCTCTTCATCCATACGGGTGGACCGCCATACGTTTTCGGGCCGATAACCCGGGTGTTTGGTTGTTTCATTGTCATATAGATGCCCATTTTGCCATGGGTATGGGCATTGTGTTTGAGGAAGGAATTGAAAGAGTTGGTAAATTGCCTAACAACATTATGGGTTGTGGACTTACCAAACGCCTCATTAATCCTTAGTTCCTTAATTATTAGCCTAACTTCAATGTTTGAAAATTCTTTTATTCTTACTTTAATTTTATCCCTCTAAATTCAAGGGATCATTTTTCTTTGTAATTTTTTTTTAATGAAATATTGTCTTTCTAAATTTGTACAATTGTACATACGTGTATTAGGAGTGTAAGTTATGTTGGCAAATTTTAGTTGTACAAATTTTCCATTAAATGCCATTAATAAACACGTATTTGCGCAATCATTTTGAGTTAATAGTTTGCAAATTCCCTTCAAAGCACTTATTTGCGCAATTATTTTGAGTTATTTTGAGGGAGAAATGGTGAGGGATCCCCACCCTCAAAGTGCCTCTACTGGGAATTAAACCCCCAACCTCAAGGTTAAAATGTACAATCTTTCCTACTAAACCAAACTTAATTTGGTCGTATAATATGGGTGTTTGAATAACGTTGTGGTAATTTAAATAAACCACCTTACTCTCTTCCAATTTTTATTCCCATGTTCCAACCCTACAGTTGACATATTGCATTAATGTACATCGCTAAGTTGGACAATGACTTATCTTTGGGCTAATTTGATTAAGACTCCAGATAATGATCGCAATTGAAATTGTGTACTCCGTATTAAGCTAGCCAAACGTAGTAATCTATACAGGTGCGTTTTTTTTTTTTTCTTTTTTCACCTGCACTAATTTAAACTTAATTTGTTATTCCTCATTAACCCTAATTTAATGTTATAGTTTATACACTCGATCTGATCGGAGCTGATCAACCCTGATTAGTCTTGAAACTTATATTTACTTCATCAAACAGACAAATTTCCAACACGTTGCTTATCGTTGCTGCAACCACAACTAACATGATGATTGGTACCATTGGAGCTAGTAAGGCTTCATTGGGTAATTTTAATTTCGTCTATTAAGCTGGTGTAAAAAAAAAAAAAAAAAAAAAAAAAAAAAAAAAAAAAAAAAAACAACCTGACAAGATCATCTAATTAATGCCCGTGATGATAAGGGTTAGATTGATCATTATGGCCTGATTGAGAGTTACAAATAGATGATTAGGACTAGTTAGCTGTACTTTCAAACAGTCAAAGATTCGCGTGCCATACCCACCAAGTAACAACCTTGATGTATGATCATACATAACTCCTTTGAAATTAAAGTTCTGATAGGTACTTTGGTAACGCTAATTACATAAAAAATGTAATATTACTTACGGTGTATGTATTATGTAATATAAGTTGCAAAATGCTAAATACTGTGTGTATATATCTATTAGTCCAGTACCATGCACATTTTGTTTAGAGATGCTACTGGTTGTGGTATGGGAGATGGAGGAGGGACCTTTAAATTTGTCTCGGATTTACAATTTGGAATGATATAAACTAATGTAAAGAATCAGGAGCACACGTACGCCTGCAACGCCTTCAGACAGCCAGGAGCCAGCAGTAAGATACAACATTAGTAATACATGGATAGGAGGATCATGGGATTACAGAAACTTTTGGGAGTATTTGCTTCATTGCATATTGAGTTGTGGAATTTTATGGTCAAAATTTGATGCAGAGGTAGCAGAAGCATCTTCACTGCATTGGATATGCCCTCCTACTCCAATTTCTACTATACCGCATCCCATGGTTGCAGGAATCGCCTCTACTTGCTGTCCTGTAACCATCGCGGATGCTGCTCCCCCTACACCAGCAGCCCCCCTGCCAATTCTTGCTGCCAATGAACAATCAATTCAATTTAGTACTTATTTGACGTTATGAAGAGTTAAAAAAAATACTAAAGGATATCATTAACCTTGATAAGTGAAGAATATGATGTGGTGTTAGACTGCATCAATGCATTGAGAAGCTCAGTTGATGTGTAAGCCTGATGCCACGTTTGAAGTGCTCCGTTCCCACCTGTTTGATCATGAGGATGATGCTGCTGCTGTTGATGTTGATGTTGTTGATGTTGATGTTGCTGTTTCTGCTGCTGTTGATGTTGTTGCTGCTGCTGTTGTTGATGATGTTGAGCAACTGTTGTGCCTCCCATCTGAGTGTTATGTTGATTCATAACAGCGTTTATGGCATTGCCCCCCTGTCCATGATTCAAGGTTTCGTATATAGTTGTTGTTCCCGGTGCTGCTGAAGAATGGTTTGGCCTTCATTTTGTACCAATACAGCATTGAGACAGAGGATAGTCATTCATTACAGGTTTCCACACACAAAATGTAAGATGTTTTAAGAAACAGCGAAAAGCATTTACCTCATGGCAATGGTATTAGAAGGGTCAGAGCTAGTGAAAATTTGGCCTTGATTATGACCACTTTCTGGCAACCAACCTATGTCTTCAAACGACGTTGGCATCCCTTCACTCGTGTCCAAGAAAATCTTGCGATTTTACAATGATCAAAATATTAGCCAAGGAATTATATGCACAACAAAGTTCAAAGACAAGGCAATATCAATAACTAGTATTTACCTGGACACCTGAAGGGTCATAGCTTGACATATGATTACTCAACAAGTATTTCTGCAAAGTAAAACACAAAATAATCAAGCAACTACAAAAACAGAATCCTCAACTTTAATAGTTCACAATACTTTTAAGTCCTTCATTCTAATACTATTGAAAGGAAAATTGCACCTCATGAAGAAAGAGCACTAAAGTGTTACACAAGAAGTTATGTTAATTAGAACAAGTCTTAATAAAGATTTGATACTGAACTCGATTCATCAGTCTGTCCATTCGCAGTAGTGCAGTACATACCTTTCGTTGAGAGACGTGTGATAAAGCATCAATGAGATTCTTCTCACATGATTCAAGTTCTCCAATTGATGTGAAAGCCATTGGATCAGGCTCATAAATCCTGATCATAAATTTTTTTAAACAAAAAATAAGTCAGGACATGAATTATGCAGGGGACTAATTCTTAGGAAAATAGTTAAACACATTTCAATAAATCATACATTATCATCACTCTTACACTAATTAACTGCGATATAAAGTAAAACAATGCAACATTGAAAGTATCAAGATGTAAAATTAAAAAAAACAGAATGTTAGACATTGTGTCAGTAAACAAAGTTTAATTATAACCTTAATTGATCTTCAGCCATCTGAAGTTGGTGTTGCAAGTTATTCACTTCTTGTTGAAGATCCTGCTAAAAAACATAAACTCAAGCCAAATCAATACCTAAAGAAATCCATTTACATTTATTTAGGAAAGAAGATAATAAATTTATACCTCCAAGTTTGAGTTACATCCTCCAGGGCTGCAGTAAAATCAACTTAAGATGTCAGCAAAGATAAAAATGAAATTAAAATTAAAAAAAAAAACGCGACATGTGAAAAACATATCATTCAAAGCTACATGATGAATTGTACGCGTTTGTGTATGCTTACTTTCTAAACGAGTTCAAATAAGAGAAAGGATGAGAAATACAAACTTGGCTAGTTGAAGAGCAATGTCATTCTCCGTCTTGAGCTTTTTCAGGGTACCAATTAAGTACTGCAAGAACATGGAGATTAATACTAGTACATGACCCTTTGCCAATTGCTAGCTTAGATATTAAATTGAATGAGATTCTTTCCAATAACTAGACGACCCATTTATTGTAAAAATTAGAGAGGGGTTTGTGAATACGACATTTCTCATTTGTTAAAAATCTCCCCATTGTCATTTCGAAAATTAAATTAGATTAGATAGTCTAGTAATCGGGGAGAATCCTCCTAATAATAAAATAAATAACAAAAGTCTTATATTATCGTACCTCTCGATTATGAACGAAGCTGTTCATTGGAATTGAAACAAAGAAAAATCCACTAAAATGTCAGTAAGTATTGCATATAAATCCATGCAAGGTAAAATCAAACAATGAAGGAAAAAACAAATAAAAATTGAAAAAAAAATAATCATACTTTCCCCTATCATGGTCGGGAAGATTAATGTAACGCGTTAATACGTCTTCAATTCTGCACAAAATCGAATAAAATGAATATCAAAAATCATAAACAAATTAGCCAAAGTTACGCAAATATCACACATGAAAAATGTTTCCTAGGAAAAAATTAACCTTTTACGGCCAGAAAAATGGCTAAGACGACCGGAAGGCGAAAACATAATAAGTGCAATATCGATGTCACATAAGATAGAGAGCTCGTAAGCCTTCTTAATGAGTCCATTTCGTCGTTTTGAAAACGTAACTTGACGATTCGTGTTGTTCTCAATCCTTTTGATTTGAAGTTTTACCCGACCCATGATAAAATTATTGTACTTAGGTTAATTTATGTTCTGTACAAAAAAAAAGATAAAAAAATAAAATTAAATTAAAAAAATGGAAGAATTAAGGAAAATTATGAAGGCGAAATGAAGATGATGAAAAAGAAAAGAAAAATGAAGGGACAAGAGAAAAGAGAGATGCGATGAAAGAGGAGAGGAGCAAGGATTTACGCTGAGGAATTAAAGAGTTTGAGTCAAATTTTCATCATTTTTTTTATTTTATTTGTTGTTAAATTAACTGTCATGGCTGGTGATTTGGAAACCACATGTATATAATTTTTTTCCCAATGGTTTAGGAATGAAACAAACAAAATTTCCAATAGATGTTGTAGTGTTGTACTACAGTACAATTTATCAATGATTTTTTTTTTTATTTTTATTTTTAATAAACACGCATATTCACGTACAAATGTGATGGTTAACCTATTGAAATTTTGAAACATACCATATTTGTTTCATAATAATCGTAATAATTTGACTTTTGCATTATCTATATACTCCGTGTATATATAAGAAAAACTCGTGTTGCTAAATAAAATATTTTTAGATTAGTCTCTATGTATATTTTCATTATATCTCCTCGAACTTTTATATTTCACATTAACATAAATATGATGGCATATGCAGGTTACATTTTTTTTTGGGTAGCCCTGAATGGAATACAGAATATGTCAATTTTAGAGTACATATAATTGTTATCTAAATGTTACCTGTATTTGTCATTTTGTCAATTACCATGTATTTGGGATAAGAAGAGTGTGTGAGTGAGCACATCTCCTCCAACCAGAAGAAGCACAAAAAAAAAATTAAAAATGGCGGTATGTGCAACTGCAGCAACAACAGCAGCACTCACAGCCATTGCAAATGCCAATTCGAGCACATCAAAAAAAATATCAAAACTCCAATTCCGAACTCTGAAACCAATCTCAAACAAATTGAACCCAAGTAGTCCTACCAATTGGTTTGATGATACTGATAAGAAAATTTCAGCAAATGTTGCAGGAGCGCGAAAAGTACTAGAAATGGGACTTATTGGAGTTATGGCTGCTTCTACGATGGCTTTCGGGTTTCCATCAGAAGCAGATGCTTTAAGAGTAGAATACTATGCCACTACTGCTGAGCCTTCTTGTGAACTCAATGTCGTTCGTTCTGGTTTAGCTTACTGTGACATTGCTGTTGGTTCCGGTCCTGCAGCTCCTTACAACACCCTTATCAATGTACTAATCTCATTGAGAATCTTTTTTCCTTATAGCCTAACTTATTTGATGCTCTACAATTTTGATTGGTTTTATGGATTTTAGGTGCACTACACTGCAAGATTTGGTGATGAGACTGTCTTTGATAGCAGTTATAAACGCGGTAGGCCTCTTACTATGCGCATTGGTGTAGGAAAAGTATGTTCTGCTCTGCTCTTTCCCTTCCACTCTTAAGAAATCTTTCTTTCTTTCTTTTGGTGAATTTATTATGTGTTTCTTATACTTATAAAATGTGAGGAATAGTTGAGAGTTAGGATACTTTTAAGCTACCTAAGACTAGCCTAATTTATTGTTCATGTACTGTAAGCTTTTTCTGCTGCATATCACAAGGTATATTATGGTTTGTGTGGGGCTGTAATTTGCAAAAATTGCATAATCAAATTGGAACTTCTCTTACACTAAACTGGTTTCGCAGTATATTGTTCAGGGAATGCATATATAATTCTGATCACCATATAATTGTGCTGAATGTATGAATATATATGTTTCATTTCAAATTGCAGGTTATTAGGGGATTGGATCAAGGGATTTTTGGTGGTGATGGGGTACCCCCTATGCAAGTTGGTATGCCAGCTTAAAAGATTAAATTTTTGCATAATATGTATTGCAGTGCTTCTATATGGTGTTTCTCTGCAGTTAAATCTCTGAATTCATATGCAGGTGGAAAGCGCAAGCTCCGTATTCCTCCAGAGTTAGCCTATGGACCAGAACCAGCTGGTTGTTTTTCAGGTATTAATGCAAAAAACTGTGTTCATTGAAATATGCAGTCAGAAAAAAGTCTCAAATCAGAACATTTCTTAAGAAAAAAAGTATATCAGCTTGCCTAAAACCTCGGCTTGTGTTCTTCAGTTGTGACTGCAATACTTCTAACAATTGAACTAATTACTTCTGCAGGTGATTGCAACATACCAGCCAATGCAACTCTGCTTTATGACATTAACTTTGTGAATATATACTCCGGAAATAGGGCAAAGTGAACAAATAATCTTGCTCAATGCACACTTGATCATACTTGATTCAATGCACCAAGAAAGTTCAGTCCAAGTGAGCTCCTCTCCCTCACTAAATTTCTCTTGTAACTAGATATTGTACATTTGTATCAGTAACCTTAGCATGTGCTCAGGTAAAAAGCAGACTATTACACATATGTATCTTTCGGCACAGGCCTGGAAATGATTACCTGCTGAGTTAAGACTATATAGATAACAGCAATGTTCCAATCTCTTAAATGTCATCCATTTGCTAGAGCAACCAAAAAGTTGCAGTTGTCTGATTGACTGTTTTAATAAAATTGAATATGTGTTCTGCTTTAACCACCCCTCAGAAATCTTATTGTAATGATAGACTAACAGGTAATTCAAACAGCAGCTTCCATTGCTCCAAGGGAGGACACCATTTTGGTATCCCCAAGTCCCAACAGATGCCTACCAAACATTGTTCTAGAATTGGCATGCTGAGAATTTGGAATGTTTTTGTTATTTCAGATTCTACTGATTAGTTTTGGTAAGAGACTGTCAGATATATTACATTTTCGCTACACATGTATGTATCCTGTTGTAGAAGTTCCTCCTTCTGCGTAATGTGTATAAAACCTACAGTTATGTCATCAATATGGTATTCATTGAAAAAGTCGGGAAATTTCTCTTACTGTGCTATTGTTCTGCACATACTCCATACTTATTTTCATATATACTTGATGTACTTAGTCTTAGGTACCTTTATTGCAAGCTTGATTTCAGATAGTATTGTTCTTACTAATTGCCTTTTAGACTTAAGAGGCCCTTTTTAAGCTTTGATAACCAAAAATAAATAAATTCAAACAAGGATTATCATGAACACTGGAATAGGAAATGATATTAAAGTATATTAGTCATCAGATGTTAGTGTAGGAAATTTTACATAACATATCCAAGTGTAACACCAGGATCAAACTATCAAAATTGGCAGAAAAAAACAGAAGTGATCTACATGATAGAGCAAGCATTTGGGTTATCATCACTGAACATGGTCATTAGAGGGTCCTGATCATATCGCGTGACTGTACCATTTTTTGGGTTTTCGACAAATTCCACCTTCCTGACATGTCCAGGAGGAGCTTTCTTATCATAAGCAACCGAGGCATAAGGCTGAGACACTAAATTGTAAGGCACATATGGCCATATTTCTGCCTTCTTCCCTGTTGATTTTGCCTTCTTCAGCACCTTATTTGCCTCCACATACCCTGTAACTGTCACCTTCTGCTGCTTCCTGTTGATCTCCACTGACTTCACCCCTGGAATAAGAATTATATTTCGCGAATATCAGAATTTGGCAACAAACTGAGTCCATTTAACTAACAACAATAACGAAACTTTGTCCTTACACAAACCAAGAATACAAATTACTAACAGTAACAAAATTTAGCAAAAGACTGGAAGAAGAAATTACCAGATAGTGAAGATAACGCTTTCTTGACTTTAAGCTCACATCCATCACAATCCATTCTAACTTTGAGCTCCACAGTTTGAAACTGCTTCCTCTTCTTCTTGTGCATATGACCACCACCCATCATTTCTGAAAAATACTCCAATGTACCTCCAACTCCCATACTTCTTAGTTTTCTTGTACAAAAGTAATGTAAAATACAAACTCGGAAACCCTCCTAACCAGAGTATTATCGCTTTATCAACCCCCTCAAACTATCGCCTTAGACAAGTCTTTTTGCAACCAAGGATTTGCGAAATGAATGCACACAAAAAGTAATAATCTTGTATTGTAACTGAAATATTTTCTCCAAGAAATATGATGTATTATTATGTTGTAGATGTTTGTAGGATGATCAAATCATATGTGTAATGAGAGGGAGGCAGGTGAAGTTTTATAGCTAAAATGACATGGGAGAGACTTTGTAGGAAACTTCTCTCCAACAAACTAGATTCCTTTCTTTGCCTCGTAGAAATCTCAGTTTTCATAACAAATACGAGTGGGTATGTACCAACTAAAAAACTATAGTATAAAATAAACTATAAATTGGACTGCTTTTAATTTTTAAAATAAAGAAACTGTGATCTTATTTCTTTCCCTTTTTGCTACAAATGTGTAATGTAGAAACTTTACCTTTTATCTCTGTTCTTTCTTCACTAGCTTTCTTCTAACGGCTTTTTTTAGACTGGATTGTGGGCGGTTCGAAAGTTCAAACACATGAACTGTTAAATAACAGGGTTAAGGAAAGCACAAAGGTGATCAAAGATCGATTAATCAGTCATATTATTAAAAGAGATACTTAAAAATTGTAAGTACAGTACATGTATATCATGGCTTGATTACTTTGTACCAAAGAAACTTACTTATAGAGAATAGAGAAAGTGCCGAAGATTTATGTATTCTCATCCCCAAACCTATCCCCATCGTTGGAAGGTACAAACTCTAACCACTATACTTGATCCGACTAGCACACAACCAAAAACCATACCCAATCCACTCATTGGAATACCTATTATCCACTTATATTCACCTTGCCCCACTACATACCTCTTACGGCTCTAATTCCCACGTGTATCATGATCTACCAACACCTACTTAGTTTAAATTTTTGAGAAAGTTGTTTAACACTATGTTTTCACTCGATACACAATAGTATAATTTTTAAATGCTAGTAAAAAAAACACTGAATTTAAAAATTAATCATTGTTTATTTATAGGTAAAATCTTGAATTCTCGATCAATACATACTATGTACACATTTCACCTTCATATCGACTTTACTACAATCAAAATTGGAAACTCCTAAACATACCGTCCTGATCAAGAATTCACCCAATCCCCCAACCCCCTACCTTCCCCAAGTAGTAAGTTCACTAAAAGTAGCAATGTAGCATCCATTAGACCATTACACTTTGCTTAAGACATTAGAACTTTATCAAAGTAGCTTACAACAAAAAAAATATATACATTTAAGACAAAAAGGACAAAGTTTAGTAGACATGATTAATTTAAGTTGGAAATTATTCAATAAAACAAATTAATTAAAAAGGTGAAGATGGTCAGCTGGTGGAAAATACAGATCACAAAGCAAATATTGAAATGTTAAAATATAGGTATGAAAGAACCTAAAACATTGAGAAGGTGTCTCGAAAATAAGATGTTGTCACGTAGTCACGTTTTAAAACGCGGAACATCGTTAAATACATACATTTTGACACGTGTTAAGCATCCAACAGTTGAGATCACAAAGATCATCAGAAGCTGGCTACCTTCATATTTAGGTTGTCTTCTGATTGGTTGATTCAACATGTCATAGGTGGGGTGTGATTATCAGTGGCGGAGCCAGGATTTTCAAATTGGGGGGACGGATTATGGATATAATATAATTTGACAAAAATCTAACAAAAAAAAAACTCAAACACACAAATTGGTTAATAGTTAATTTTAAAATTTCAAAATACAATAAAATACTTAGTCATACAATTCAAAATGATGAAAAAAATTACATAAATATTAAATTAAAATTACACTTGCATCCTTTGAGTCTTCGTATTTTGAAAGCGATCAATAATTTTTTCATCGGAAACTTGTAAGAAGACATCCTTCTTAATAAAAGTAACCAAATCATCATTTATAAGTTGATCACCCATGTTACTACGTTTATGTCAATACGAGTATGTCATATTTAAAGCCAACACAAAGCAAGCTAAACTAATAAACTAGACTTGTTGAAAGCTGACCAAAGAATATGGCAAAAAAAAAATTTTCTTTTCTAATTACTCAATAAGATAAAGGAAAAATTACCAATCTAGCTTAATTATCAAACAATGTTCCATATTAGACGTGTGGCAAAACTATTTACCAAACTAAGCCTGAGGGTAAAACGCCATCTAGGGTAGCGTTTTACCCCTGACAAATTTTTTTTTAAAACATTTCAGTTATGGGTAAAACGCTACCCTGGATGGCGTTTTACCCCTAACTGAAATGTAAAAAAAAAAAAAAAATCCAAAGGGTAAAACGCCGACGTGGAGGGCGTTTTTGTCTTCTTCATAACACGCCAACCACGCTGTAGTTTTTGCATCAGGTAAAAACTGCTACTTCACTTCAGTTTATTTCATTGTTCTTCAGTCAGGGGTAAAACGCCATCCAGGGTAGCGCTGTACCCCTTACTGAAATGTTTAAAAAAAAAATTGCCAAAGGGTAAAACGCTACCCTAGATGGCGTTTTACCCTCAAACTCAGTTTGATAAATAGTTTTACCACGCGTCTAATATGGAGTATAGTTTCTTAATGAAGCTTCCTTTGGTAATTTTTCCTAAGATAAAAGCATTAAAAAAGTAGACCACCAATCCATAAAAAAGCCGAGAAAATCAACTCCCCAAATAAAAAACTAATCCATCACATTTTCCAATCCCACAAAAACTGATAAACTCTCACTTTCTCTCTCCTCCTCACTCTCTTTCTGTTTCTTTATCTCTCTTCCCCCAACTTCTTCAATGGCGGCATCAACAACATCAACAATCATAGAAGAAACTCAATTAAAAAACCAGACATTTTACTCAACTTACTTGGGGGTTAGTTTTGCAGTGTTCTTGTCATTCTTACCAAATAATGCAATTTTATTTTTTTATTTTTTTTAAAATTGGGGGGACAGTTGTCCCCCCATGTCACTTAATTGGCTCCGCCAGTGGTGATTATCATGTAAATATCCTAAGCAGGCCACCCTAATACTAGAGTGGTCAATTCGAGTAAACGGATCGGTTTTGGGTCGGGTAAGAGTGAGTCGGGTCAATTCGGTGTGATTTCATAACCTATGCAGGTCAGGTTTGGATTGGGTCATGCTTGAGTCGAGTCATGTCGGGTCATACTTCTTATCGGGTTTGGGTCGGGTTAATAACAGGTCGGGTGAACAATAGGTCGGGTTTAAATCGGGTTTTCACGGGTTAAAACGGGTTAGGGTAATTCTCGGGTTCGAGTCGGGTTCGGTTCAAGTCAATAATTTGCGGGTTAGAATCAGGTCGGGTCATTCTCGGGTTTGAGTCGGGTTTGGTTCAAGTCAATAATTTGCGGATTATAATCAGGTCGAGTCATTTTCAAGTCGGGTCATTCTCGGGTTCAAGTCGGTTACAGTTCAAGTCAATAATTTGCGGATTATAATCAGGTTGGGTCATTTCCAAGTCGGGCCATTCTCGGATTCAAGTTGGGTTATTCAAGTCAATAATTTGCAGGTTACAATCAGGTCGGGTCATTTCCAAGTCAGGTCATATTCGGGTTTAACTAACTATAAACAGATAATTATCATTTTTATCAAGCTAATTATTTCCTTTGACTATTAATATATATGACAATATACTAGAGAACTATAGTCTATAAATTAGGAAGGTTATTATCTCCTTTGACCATACAACAAATATATACTATATTTAACTCTTAAATTTGAGGATGATGCTCCTTTCTTTTGCTAGCCTGGACCGACTTGGTCTCCCTAGACAAAATGCTTTAATCAACAATAATAAGGTGGTCTAAATTGCATTTAAGGTGTTTTGAAATTGGGTCGGGAACAATTTAGGTTGAATTTAGGTCGGGCCAATAACAAGTCGTGTTAATTTCAAGTCGAATTAGTAACCAGATCGGGTTGAATTTTTGGGTCAGGTAAGTAATAGGTCTAGTAAAATTCAGGTCAGGTCAATAACAAGTCAGTTTGATTTCGGGCCGTGTTTAAAACAGGTTGGGTTAAATTCGGGTCGGGTTGAATTCAGGTCAAGTTAGTAACAAATAGGGTTAAATTCGGATTTTGACAGGTTAAAACGGGTTTGGGTCAATTTCGATTCAAGTTAGGTTCGGTGCAAGTGTATTGAATTGGCCGTTGTAAACCGATAAATCGGTGCAACTTGTAAACCGATAAATTGGCCATTTAAAAGCAAATTGGATGGTTCCACACACCTAATTGGTCTTCCGGAAGGTTTTAGGGACCATGGTAAACATTTCGGCGATTTTTATTTTCGGGCGCAAAATAGTCAAAAAATTCCAAAATTGAAGATAATATCCACTTTTTTGAGAAATTTTGGAGATTTCGGGGCCTGGTGTCGAAAAGTCTTGAAATTATAGGGGATACATCTCGGGGTCATATAATGCCGTTTGGAACCATATATGATCATTATTTGTTGTCATAAATGTTCATGGTAGGCTGGAGTTAATGAAATTGGTGCAAGTTGTAAAACGGTAAATTGGTCGTTTAAAGGCAAATTGGATGGTTTCACCCACCAACTGGGACTCTCGGAGGGTATTATGGACCATGGTAAACCTTTCGGCATTTTTTTATTTCTGGGCGAAAAAAGTCAAAAATTTCAAAATTAAAGGCTATTATCCATGCTTTTAGAGAAATTTTGGAGGATTCGGGACCCGTGTCGAAAAGTATTGAAATTCTAAGGGATGAATCTCAAGGTCATATAATGTTGTTTGGAACCATATATGTAGGGCTAGCAAACGGATCAGGTCGGGTCGGGTTCGTGTTCGGGTCAGTTCAATTTCGGGTCGAATACCCCTGACCTGAACCTGACCTATTTAACTTTTCGGGTCAAAAAGCTCAACCCTAACCTGATTTTTTCGGGTTCGGGTCAACCCGAATCTGACCTTATTTTTTTGGATCTTTTTTTTTTCGACTCTGAATTTACTTAAGATTACAGATCTAATATTTCCCATTTCAATTTTAAATATTAACATCTTAATTTTATAAAGAAAATCATTGATAAATAATCAAATTGATACCATCAACAAATTAAAAGTGAAGATAATAAACATATAACAACTTCCCTCCTAGAAAGAGTCTTGGATAATAAAATACCAAATTAAATTACATTACATAAGATCTTAAATTAAAAAAAAAAATAAACGTGTCTCAAATTTCAATGATTTGCGGAAATATCATTCAGATATTGTTCGACGATGAGGTTGATGCTTGTTGTTGCTAGACCGATCGAGCGGTGTGAGGCTGATGAAGCAAAGAAAGCGTGATGTGATGGTGGTGGAAAACGTCAAAACGCCGAGGGAACAAATCGTAATCGTAATTTTCAGAAAACTTATACATATAATAAAAAAAATACCTTGGATTGATGAAGGAGAGGTTGAGATAAAGAGAGGAAGTGTAGATTGATGGAAAAAAAACAAGGATTAAATAGAAATTAAGGTTTGAAAAAGGTTGGAGAAGATTTTAGAGAATGAAGAGGGAGAAAATTTAAGAGAGAGAGAATGAAGGAGAGGAGAACGGCTGAGTGAAAGTGAGAAAGAATAGAGGAGTTTAGGGTTTTTGAAGTTATTAGGTGGGCTCATTTTGAATTTTGGGCTTGGCTTATGATTTATTTAGGCTTTTATTTTTTTTTCGGGTTATGTGGGTTAATTTCGGGTTGGGATTTTCAACCTTAACCTAACCCATTTAAATTTCAGGTCGGCTTCGTGTCAACCCATTTACGTTTTTGGGTCGAAAACCTCAACCCTAACCCGCTATTTTCAGGTCGGTTTCGGGTCGTGTTTTCGGGTCGGGCAGTTTTTGCGAGCCCTACATATATGATCATTATTTGTTGTTATAAATGTTCGTGTTAGGCTTGAGTTAATGAGATCGGTGCAAGTTATAAACCGATAAATAGGCCGTTTAAAGGCAAATTGGATGGTTCCACCCACTCAATTGGACTCCTGGAGGGTATTAGGGACCATGGTAAACATTTCGGCAATTATTATTTCCGGGCGAAAAAAAGTCTAAAAATTCCAAAATTAAAGGCTAATATCCATGCTTTCTAAGAAATTTTGTAGCTTTCGGGGCTTGGTATCGAAAAGCCTTGAGATACAAGGGAATACATCTCGGGGTCATATAAAGTCATTTGGAATCATATATGATCATTATTTGTTGTCATAAATGTTCGTGATAGGCTTAAGTTAATGAAATCGGTGCAAGTTATAAACCGTTAAATTGGTCGTTTAAAAGCAAATTGGATGGTTCCACCCACCCAACTGGACTCCTGGAGGGTATTAGAGACCATGGTAAACGTTTCGGAAATTTTTATTTTCGGGAGAAAAAAAGTCAAAAAATTCCAAAATTGAACGCTAAGATCTACGCTTTGTGAGAAATTTTGGGGGTTTCGAGGCCCGTGTCAAAAAGCCTTGAAATTTTAGGGGATACGTCTTGGGGTTATATAAACCTGTTAGGAACCATTTATGATCATAATATGTTGTCACAAATGTTCATGGTAGGCTTGATTTAATGAAATCGATACAAGTTGTAAACCGTTAAATTGGTCGTATAAAGGCAAATTGGATGGATACACCCACCCAATTGTAATCCCGGAGGGTATTAGGGACCATGGTAAAAATTTCAGCAATTTTTATTTCTGGGCGAAAAAAAGACAATAAATTCCAAAATTGAAGGCTTTTTTGAGAAATTTTTAAAGTTTCGGGGCACGGTGTTGAAAAACATTGAGATTTTAGGGAATAAATATCATGGTCATATAATGTCGTTTGGAACCATTTATGATCATTAAATGTTGTCATAAATTTTCGTGGTACGTAGGCTTAAGTTGATGAAATCGGTGCAAATTGTAATCCGGTAAATTGGCCGTTTAAAGGCAAATTGGATGGTTTCACCTACCCAATTGGACTCCCTGAGGGTATTAGGGACAATGGTAAACATTTCGGCAATTTTTATTTTCGAGCGGAAAAAAGTCAAAAAATTCCGAAATTAAAGGCAAATATCCACGCTTTTTGAGAAATTTTGGAGGTTTTGTGGCTCGGTGTCGAAAAGGGTTGAGATTTTAGAGGATACATCGTGAGGTCATTTAATGCCGTTTGGAACCATAAATGATCATTATATGTTGTCATAAATGTTCGTGGTAGGCTTGAGTTAATTAAATGGTGCAAGTTGTAAACTGGTAAATTGGTCGTTTAAAGGCAAAGTGGTTAGTTCCACCCACCCAATTGGAATCCTGAAGGGTATTAGGGACCATGGTAAACATTTCGGCAATTTTTATTTCCGGGCGAAAAAAAGTCAAAAAATTCCACGCTTTTTGAGAAATTTCGGAGGTTTCGGGGCCCGGTGTCGAAAAGGCTTGAGATTTTAGGGGATACATCTCGGGGTCATATAATGCCGTTTGGAACCATATATGGTCATTATATGTTGTCATAAATGTTTGTGGTAGGCTTGAATTAATGAAATCGGTGTAAATTGTAAACCGATAAATTGGCCGCTTAAAAGCAAACTGGATGGTTCCACCCACTCAATTGGACTCCCAGAGGGTATTAGGGACCATGGTAAAAATTTCGGCAATTTTTATTTTCGGCCGAAAAAGGTCAAAAAATTCCAAAATTGAAGGCTAAGATCCACGCTTTATGAGAAATTTTGGAGTGTTCGGGGCCTGGCTTCGAAAAGTCTTGAAATTCTAGGGAATACATCTCGGGGTCATATAATGTCGTTTGAAACCATATATGATCATTATTTGTTGTCATAAATGTTCGTGGTAATCTTGAATTAATGAAATCGGTGCAAGTTGTATACCGGTAAATTGGTCGTTTAAAGGCAAATTGGATGGTTCCACCCACTCAATTGGACTCCCGGAGGGTATTAGGGACCATGGTAAACATTTCGGCAATTTTTATATCCGGACGAAAAAAAGTCAAAAAATTCCAAAATTGAAGGTTAATTATCCACGCTTTTGAGAAATTTCGAATGTTTCGGGGCCCAGTGTCGAATTGCATTGCGATTTTAGGGGATGCATCTCGGGGTCATATAATGCCGTTTGGAACCATGTATGATCATTATATTTTATTATAAATTTTTGTGGTAGGCTTGAATTAATGAAATCGGTGCAAGTTGTAAACCAGTAAATTGGTAGTTTAAAAGCAAATTGAATGGTTCCACCCAGCCAATTTGACTCCCGGTGGGTATCAGGGACCATAGTAAACATTTCGGTAATTTTTATATCCAGGTGAAAAAAAGTAAAAATATTCCAAAATTGAAGGCTAATTATCCATGCTTTTTGAGAAATTTTGGAGGTTTCGGGTAGAGATGTCAATTCGAGTAAATGGGTCGGTTTTGTGTCGATAAGAGTGGGTCGGGTCAACTCAATTCGGATTAATTCCATAACCTATGCGGGTTGGGTTTCGGTTGGTCATGCTTGAGTCGGGTTACATCGGGTCATACTTATTATCGGGTTTGGGTCGAATTTAGGTCGGGTTAATAACAGGTCGGGTTACATTCGGGTCGGGTGAACAATAGATCGGGTTTAATTCAGGTTAAAATGGGTTAGGGTAATTCTCGGTTTCGGTTCTAGTCAATAATTTGCGGGTTAGAATCAGGACGGGTCATTTTCGGGTTTTAGTCGGGTTTGGTTCAAGTCAATAATTTGGGGGTTATAATCAGGTCGGGTCATTTTCAAGTCGGGTTCGGTTCAAGTTAATAATTTGCAGGTTATAATTAGGTTGGGTCATTTTCAAGTCGGGTCATTCTCGGATTCAAGTCGGGTTATATTCAAGTCAATAATTTCCAGGTTACAATCAGGTCGGGTCATTTCCAAGTCAGGTTATTCTCAGGTTCAACTGACTATAAATAGATAATTACCATTTTATCAAGATAATTATTTCCTTTGACTACAATATATATAGGGAACTATAGTCTATAATTTAGGAAGATAATTATCTCTTTTAACCATACAACAAATATATACTATATTTAACTCTTAAATTTGAGGATGTTGCTCATTTATTTTATTGGCCTGGACCGACTTGGTCTCCCTAAACAAAATGCTTTGATCAACAATGATAAGGTGGTCTAAATTGCATTTAAGGTGATTTAAAATCGGGTCAGTAACAATTTGGGTTGAATTTAGGTCTGGTCAATATTAAGTCGTGTTGATTTCGAGTCGGGTTAGTAACAGATCGGGTTGAATTTTTGGATCAGGTTATAATAGGGTTGGTAAAATTCAGGTTGGGTCAATAAAAAGTCGGGTTGAATTTGAGTCCGGTCAATAACAAGTCGGGTTGATTTCGAGTTGGGTTTGTAACAGGTTGGGTTAAATTTGGGTCGGGTTAGGAATGGGTCAGGTTGAATTCAAGTCAGGTTAGTAACAAGTCGCGTTAAATTCGGGTTTTGACGGGTTAAAACGGATTCGGGTCAATTTCGGTTCAAGTCAGGTTCGGTTCAAGTCAATAATTTACGGGTTACATTCGGGTCGGGTCATCTCCAGGTCAGTTCATGTTCGAGTCTCGCATACTCGAGTCAATTCGAGTCTAGGGTTGGTTTCAGGTCGGGTTTGAGTCACCATTTTTTCGGGTTCAAATGGGTCGGTTAATAATTGGGTGTGAGTCGGTATTTCGAGTCGGGTCAACTTTTGACAGCTTTACCTAATACTAGCTTTTTTGTAAAATGACAATAATATTAATATTTAATCTATATAATTAACTTATCTTACGTCCACATACACCAAATACTGTCTTCATGTAGGTGTAAATAACATTATAAATACCAGAGTATAAGATGCAACAATGCTATTTTTGCTCATTTGATGATTAAATGAGCAATAATCATCCTTTAATCATCAAAATAAGATCGTGCACTCAAATATATATAACAAATTTTGATGTAGCTGGGAAGTACGTCTTGTTTTATCAACAATTATAAATGAGAGAATGTCAAATTACCTACGAAACTCATACAAACAAAGAACTTAATTAAGAAATGTCAAAAATATCTACAGTTCGTTCTACAATGAATGTAAAATTCTTTAATCAAAGGTACACATGAAGCTTTTGAATTCTTAGCTTGATTTCACTAGTTAATGTCTAATGCCACGGCATTGAGCAAGTAAATTCAACAAATGCCAGAAACCGATGTTCCACAACCCACAAAAAAGGCTCATTATATACTCCATACGAAGTTTCAAAATTCTATGAATAAGCAGTTGTATATAAGAGAACCTAGTAATAACATAGCTCCATCTAGAGAGAAAAAATACTAACTATATATACACGGCTTTAATCGAGAATTATAGAAGACCTAAGTGGGAGGCAAGAGGGATACAGGTATACTACAGATCCAATGACTTATAGGGAAAAATGTAAAGGCATTGGATCGATATGATATAAATGCATGGATGGTATTTACATCAGGTGTAGAAAAATTACTGATTCAAAATACCATTGTGGATGAAAGGTCGTGATCGAGATAGCTAGTATGGAAAGCAGCATCCAAGATGAAAATGGTGGATGCATCGCTGAGGCAGCAGAGGCTTTGGGAGAAGTCCTGCCAGCAATAGCAGGAGACACGGCCTGTGCACCAGGAATGCTCTGTTGTTCATTACTAGGCAATGCATTAGGTGGTTTACCCCCTGTTGGTGGCATTGATGGCGTTTTGTTCTGATTGCTTAGATCTTGACCTACAGATATGCCACAGGTGTAATTAGATTATTTTTTTTATTCTTATGCATTTCCTGACTTCAGCCAGTAGTAGCAAAGAAATCTAGCCGGCCACATTGAAAGTAGATTAATTTGAGCACGTAATTAATGAAGCTTTATGCCTTGACACAGCCTTCTTTCCCTAAGAACTTGTTCATGCATCATAAAAGCAAGTTTATATATCAACACATACTCGTAGCAAAAACTTGTCAGGAAGAACAATCAGCTATCAACCTATCATTGATAAAAGATCAGCTAAAGAGCAATCAACCTTCATTCAGACAGACAGAGCTTTGCAGGAGATACGTGAAACAATAAGTAGATGATAAAAGATCCCTTTATAAACCATGATAAAGAAACCAAATGCAAAACTCCATAGGGCCTCACCAACGCAGATTGCAAATTAAAGCATTAGACTTCAAACATTAAATACTTACAATCGGAATGAGACCAGCCAAGTTTCATGTTTTCCCTATCAAACACCATGCGATATCCTGTCATGAAGTTCTCTGCAAAATAATATTTTAATTCCAAATAAGAAACATACCTGTTAATGCATGTTAAAGTAATTATAAAATCAAACAGGCCTCCACTTACGGCCAATAATTGCAATATCTCCATCGGCACGTCCTACAGCAAGACAATATCCCACAATTCCCTGCAGCATAGCATCCCAATAACTTAGCAAGGCCATCAGGTTCAGGAAAGTAGGAATATAAGATGCTTCAATTCATAGCTATGATATTGAACAATAACCTGAAAGATAATCATGGTTTCCGCGGATTTAATATCTTAGCAAGATTTACAAATCACATCAATGATATCCATCGACATTATATATAATAAGAGTTCACATATAAAGAACATGCTTCAATGGACAGTAATATAGCGAGTCCAATCTTCAACAAGGAGATAGCTCTGGATAATGGTTACTGATATGCTTATTTCAAAATAGTTTTACTAAAGGACACAACCTAGAGCAGAGAAATAAGTAAATTAAAAAAAACACACGCACAGGGCAGGCTACTGAGAGTCTGAGACCAATCAAGCCCACATCAAATAAAAAGGCTTTGATGTTGAATTATGACAAGTTTGTTGGATAAAACATTTCATTACAGTTAACCCAAAATCTGGCAGGTTATTGAAAATCTACCAAACCGAACAAACTTATAAGCAATAAGCTACTGAGATGAGTGAGACCAATCAAGCACATGTTGTAAAAAAAATTAAAAGGCTTTGGTAATGAATTTTGATAAGGTTGTTGGTTAGCGTTTCATCTCAGCCAATGCAAACTTTGACAAATTATTAAAAAACAACCAAACCAAGCAAACTTAATAGCAATAAGCTAACAAATCGTTTTAGCTAGCTTGCTTGTCTCTTTGAATCGATTCATGGTGTACTTTTATTAATCCTCATACAGAATAGTAAATTTCCGTTCTTTCTCAGACATTAATTAAAGCTACCTTAACCCAAGCCTTCATTATGCCTAAAATGTCGGACCTGAATGAAATTATTCATTTCTTAGGGTGGTTTGTGCCAAATCATACAGATTCTTCAAAAGAAACAACAATGGTAAAAGTTGAAGCTAAATTCAAGTTCATACGAATAGCTACTTTTGTTCACATAAACATGATACTTGAATAAATAGACTCAAGTGAAAACAAGCAAATTCGAAATTTATGGTCTATATGCTAGCAGCATATTGAGAAAGAATCTTGGAAGAAAGATTACAGATACCCAACAATGGAAGCCAAAATCAACACAGCTTCGGAAATAGGAACTTGGGATAACTAGAAACAATCAGCAATTATTATATATTATAATATTATACTACACTGAATCATTCAGAAATGAGATGTTAATCCCTATTATAAAATAAATTGATTTGCACACCTTCACTCAGTTTTAAACGACTTCCAGCAGCGTAATTTTATCCTAGTAACTACAGAATGTAACTCAGCAGATATTATTCTTTTTTCCTTAATTTGAAGATCACAGATATTTTTAGGGGAGCAGGGAAGAAGAAGGGGAGGTAATGAGATACCAACCTGATCTCCATTGACAGTGTACATAGGATATTGGACAACAAAACTCTGGTCAGATGGCAACATCAGCTCCAGAGAAGGATAATTACGCAGATCATCTCCACTGTTTCAACAAGAATATTTTAGACTAGTCAAATGTACAAAGAATAAAACAGAGTCCAAGAAATGAATTATTAAGATGTCACATAAAATAACCTTGACTTGTAACAATAATCCCATGGAGATCCATCATAATTCACTCTAGCAGCCTTAACTTCTTTGTCAAACTGTCAGATATTGCATTTGCTTCAACACTGAATCATCTATAACTAAACTAGAATTCAAATTTGAATTACAGACAATAAGTACCTCCTGAGTAACTTTTTTATACACATCATCTGGAAAATAAGTGAAAGAAAACCCACTATCAACAACAGCATGGAAACTTGTTTGTTTGAGACAAGTGCCCTTCCCAATACAGACAGAATCCACGCCGACAACATAAGTTGAACTGAATAGAAGAGGGCAGAGAGAAAGAGAGCCAACACCAATGAACACAAGTGTATTAGTCCAACAAGATTCTGGTCTATATAATGAGGAGATAGTATATTAAGTATAAGAAACATACTATTTTCCATCTAAAGGCAGAAATGGAGTCCACTGATGGGTATTGAGTCCTTGGTCACCAAAATATATTCTCCCAGAAAAATTTTCATTAAAACACAATGAGAAAGAGTTTCTAATTAATCCAGATTTTGCAAGAAGACTTGGCACAGAAATGTCCCCAGGACCTAGACCCATCAGACCATCAGGAGCAATTCCCTCCTCCAGATAAACACCACTTTGCTTCTTACCACACCTGTACAAGATCAAACAGCCCATAAAGATGGCGTTCAAATTTCCTGGACATAGCAGCAATTAACAAATATCTAGCAAGTTAAACGAAGTATGTAATAAGAAATATCAGACCCAAAATCAATTATCAGAGCATACCCAAATATAATTGAAGCTTTTATACTTGATGGGCTATTACTGCTAGATGAGAGATGTAATACATCCTCAACAAGCTGGCCCGAACTTGATGTATTTTCCGAAAAATATTGGACACTGTAAGGGCATGACTGAGTGGGACTTTTACAGTTTTCCTGCTGTGCGCATAACCGATGGCTGCAAGTCAGAAGCTTACTGGAATTTGAGCTATCTGGGTTGTACTCGTTGAGGTTCTTATCCTGCATAATAGATGCCCCCATAGACCAAGGAGCACCTGCCAATCAATCACTGGAAATAAGTGCTAACACTGTTCCAAGTATTAGCAGGTACTAATCATACAAAGCACAGGTATAAATCGTATTACAACAGCAAAAATTATAAAACAATAATTTTGCAAGTAAATAAAAGTGTTCAAATCAGGTTGGCAAGTCACATACTCCATAATCCTTATCAGCCTTTTCATTGGTAATGGTGTCAAATTCTTTCAGTTTCTCTTTCAAACACCGCCCTTCAGCTCTATTTACTCATTCTTGTCAATATTATTCAATTTAAGAAGAGAATTCAAGCTCTTTTCACATGAGTCTCCCTTATCTCAACTTATTGAGCTTATTAGAGCTAATTCGAACTTATTAGCCCTCACCTAAACCAATGAACTTATCACTAATTGCTTCTAGTGATAAAATGAACTTGGTAGCCCAAATATGAACTTACTAGTCTTTATGCGAACATAATTATTCTTTTTTAAACTTATATTTTCTAATGTGGAAAGAACATGAATTAAGATAAAGGAGATTATCTTTTGAAATCAATATAATCTGTATTATAATGGCTTAAAACTTATAAGATACTCCACATAAAACCATTTCTAGAACTATATGTGTGTGTGTGTGTGTGTGTGTAAATGAAGAAAATAAACAGAAAGAAAACAAAAGAATACGGGCAGAAAGAATAAAAAAGCATACCAAACTGTCATAATGAGTAGCCGAGAGAGAAGCACATTGGACACAATCACATGGAACCCAAAGTAGATCACTACCAGCATCCAAGGCAACCATAAAAGATACATTTGGTGTTCCTATATCAATCCAAGTATAGTATAACCTGCAAATGAACCGCTCATAATTCAAATAATAAACACCGGAAGCATAACCACATTAACTAGACTGCTGCAAAATTATGTAGAAATGTCCATTCATCACTCCCCTCAATGTGTTAATAACTGAATATTGTCATATATACTATTAAAGACGTCCTAAATTAATCATAAACAATTTAATCTGGACTATTACACAACATACACGCTCCCCTCTAACCATCTATTGTGATTTATATGCGAGGAAAAGCATAATCATGTAGGATTTCATTAGATTTGTCTCGATATATACTTTCAAGATATCGCGGGAAATTGTGCTTTGGTAAGCTTTATCCCCCAAAGTTGTCATACACTACTAACAGAGGAGCTATAATGCTTCCTAAGATATCCTTACTTGGATTTAGCAATGGAAAAAATGTGGTAATATTTAAGGTTCTAAGCTCTCATTACACTAATTATAGTGAAATAATGTAAATATGTAATGCCCTAAATTGTGATCAGTTGAGAATTTAAAACAATTACAAATAGTCAAGGAAGAATAACATATAGTGAAATAATGTAATGCCCTAAAATATCACATACTGACAATAGTCATCACATTACTTAAAATAGTAATGACTAACGATTGTATGTTCTGAAATCATGAAAAAATAGTGTAGTAATGACTCAGTAAAGTTTTCTAGCAAAACGATGTCATATCCTCACTAACGTGGGGTTAAGCCAATGGGAAAATTACCTACGGCAGGAGAGCTAGTATAATGTTGTTCTGATTATAGAAGTTATATACTTCCTCCTCTATTAATATTGCAACAATGGACTTTTTGCACTATTCATCACTCTTGTTTGACCATATAATATGAGTTATACATTAAGCAAAATATAGTCAAGTGGGATCTTGTTGGATTCGTCTCATATAATACTTTTACAATATCAACTTTTTATAATTTTTACTCTTACACAATTATAGATATCCTCCTTGTTGTTGCAATATTAACAGAACAGAGGAAGTATACTACAAGGGCATCCCAAAATATATTCGATAAGATGACAACTTTCTACAAAAGCCCTAAAATAGTAAATGTGATTATGCCATTGTTAAATTCCGGCAATTAGAAAATCTCCTCCGTCACACTTTAATATGCCACAATCTTCATAATGTATTTCTGTATCAAGTCTTCTTCATATGGCATCTAATAAGTTCTGTTAAGAATTCTCCCATTTACTCTTAGTACTATTTTAAGAGTTCAAAGCGGAGTATCATCATATAATGCTTGTTATCAAGCATAGTAAACATTCGAAGAATAACCAAGTTATTTCAATCATTTACTTAAACACGATGACTAATAATTAAATGTGGCTTATTAAAGCGGAACAGAGTGAATACATATCACAGCAAATAAACTAATACATTTTTTTGGTGCAAAAATAAATCAGACAAAATTAAAGCAGAAAATAACAATTGTAGCATAAAAATTGACATACCAACCAAGTTCATTGCCGTAAGACTGAGCTTGACTACCCTGAGAAGGAAAAACCAACTGATGCTGATGACCGATTTTCATCTTCTGCCTTTGAAAATCGCCGATCGACAACCTCTGATAATACTCTTTACTCTTAAATTCCGGCCACAATTTCTTACCGGAAAACCCTGGCAACTCGTCGGAAAATCGGTGCACTAATCTGGATGTATACATCGTACTACTCTCTCTAATCATAATCAAAATCAACAACATCCATAACAATAGAGCTAATTTCTTCGCCATTTTCGGCGATTAATCGATGAACAAAGTTATTAATCTAGGGTTTTGCAGAGATCTGGAAATAAATCGAAGTGAAGAGGAAGGAGAAATGAGCAGTACTGAGTAGAGAGTGAGTGAGTGAGAAAGAGGAGTGATAAAAAGTGTGTTTAAAAAAAGAGGAGAGAGAAAACAAAAAAGAGGTGTTTACGCTAATTACGCTCCGTCAACCATGTGTATCGTAATTCCCAAGTCCAAATCACCTTTTTTTAATTTTGCTTTATTGTTTTGTTGGACCTATTTAATTATGGAAAGGGTAAGCTAGGAATTGTCATTTTCCTTAGCACACATCACTATCATTTAGATTTTTTTATTTATTTTTAAGAGCTATCATGTGATTGATAATTTTATACTCGTATACTAGAGCTAGAGTTGTCAAAAGCTGACCCGATCCAAAATATCGACCCTAATCCGACCTATTAACCGATCCGTTCGAACCCGACCTGAAACCAACTCTAGACCCGACTTAACCCGAGTATTTGAGACTCGAACCCGAACATTAACCGACCTAGAGACGACCCGACCCGAATATAACCCGTAAATTATTGACCTGAACCGAACCCGACCTGAACCGAAATTGACCCAAATCCGTTTTAACCTGTCAAAATCCGAATTCAACCCGAACTGTTCCTAACCCGACCCGAATTTAACTCGACCTGCTACAAACCCGACTTGAATTTCAACCCGACCTGTTACAAACCCGACCCGAATCAACCCGAATTGTTATTGACCTGTCCCAAATTCAACCCGACTTGTTATTAAATCAATATGTATAGGTCGTTATCTCATGTTGGTATTGGAACGGAAATTGAATCCTAACTCTATTCCTTCAATATTTCACATTGAATTTTAAGAGGTTAGTTTCACAACATGTTTTTAGGGACGAAACATGTTTTCTGCAAATTAGTGACTTGAACCGAACCCGACTCGAACCCGAGAATGACCCGACTTGATTATAACCCGCAAATTATTGACTTGAACCGAACCCGACTTGAACTCGAGAATGACCCGACCTGATTATAACCCATAAATAATTGACTTGAACCGAACCCGACTCGAACTCGAGAACGACCCTAGCTCGTTTAAACCCGCAAAGACCCGAATTTAACCCGACCTATTTTTCACCCGACCCGAATGTAACCCGACATTAACCAGACCCAAACCCGATAAGATGTATATATGACCCGACGTGACCCGACTCAAGCATGACCCAACCCGAACCCAACCCGCATATGTTATGACATTAACCCGTATTGACCCAACCCGAGATGACCCGACTCACATTAACTCGACTCAAACCCAACCCGTTTACCCGAATTGACAGCTTTAACTGTAGCATCCTTGTATTTGTGAAATTAAGGTGATGGAACAGTGATATTGCTTCCTTGTATCCCTGAGGTCAAGCATGTTCGTATTCATTCAAGACAACCCAAGTAAAGATCTTATCTGTATCACTGTATTGTCTCAATTTACGGAGTAGTATTTTATTTGAACCAGGATTTAGTGGAGCTTGGAACACCGAAAAAAAAAAAAAACCTTTTTTCAATTTCGTGGTACAGCATACAGAGTGAACGTATCGTGATCCTTGCTTTCCTATATTCCTATGGCAATTTTTGTGGTCATCCTTTGTCTGTTAGCCTCGAAAATCATGTGGCGCCACTAACATAGAAAAGTAATCCGCTAAACAAAAACTGTTACATTATTAACAGTGTCTTTCAACTCAGTTTACAAAAGAATTCATGAATCAATGATTATAATGTCAAGAAACATGTATACTACAAACAAAACACAGGTATAATACAAATACAATCTCGACAATACTATGTACACGACCACGACCAACACTATTAAGGGCAAAAAGTTGATCGACAAAAGAATAATAGTAGGAAGAAGATATCTCACGGAGAGCTAGTCTCACAATATAGGTAAGTATATATTACCAGCCCTTACGCAGGTGTAATATCATTATCTTTGTAGCTCGAGCAAAAAAAAAAAAATTAATGAGGGGTAATTGGAGGATCCTGCTATTAGTTAGACCATTGGAATTCAATTTCCAAATTTCTTGAGGGACCGCTCTTGCTTTCAGGTAGTAGTGTATACTCCCCAGCTACTGCTCCCAGCATAACTACTCGATCAATCTGGATTGTCACCTTACCAAATGAACTCTGCAAAAGCAAAGATATATTGAGGTAAGAAATAATACAATCATGGTTCAAATGATGTTATTCAATGTCCTCTAAATGCTCATTTACCTTTCCTACTTTACTCTTGTTTTTGCAAGAAATGTGTAGTTTCTGGCCCTTTGGAGGACTCTCAAACGACCATACAAAGCTCTCATCCCATTCTGGGGCAGGACCAGTTGACACAACCTGTCAAAACAAGCAGGGTTTAGCTGATAGCAAAAGGAAAAAACACTAGGTCGGATTGAATGCGATGAAACAAGCTACTCTCGTACATCCCATAATATGACAAAGATATGTTGAAAATATGCACAAACTAAAAGTACCAATGCAAGTTATGTCGAGAGTAACCAGTCTCAAATGGATGTATGGAGTATTAAATAGCCAGCTGGTCAATGTCTTTATAATCAAAACTAATGATTAAATATAGAAAAGAAGAAAAGGTTTAGCAAATAACTAAGTTGAATCTTACCTTTGTCTGTCTGGGTGGAGTATTCCCTAATGTAAGCTTGCAAAATACACTAGGGTTTCCCACTGATTGCCTCATGTTGTTTCCACGCTTGATTATTACAGTAAGAGTTCCAGGCAAACACTGCAGCAGAAATTCAGCCTTCTCTTGGAAACGAGGAGGGCCAGATTGGATCAAATACTGCAGCAAAGGAATTGCATCTGCAGCAGCTATAGATTGAGCACGAGATACTTCTGCAGGGCATGCTGACCACGCTTGTCTTAAAAGAACTAGAGCATCTAAAGAGGCTTCTTGAGTTGCCTCTGAGCCTGTTTTGAGTGAGGTCACTAGGTGTGGTATACTAAGGGTAGCAGGTTCAGTGGCTCTTAGACGTGGGAAGTTGCCAAAAAGTGCATTCAGGGCTTTCAAATACTCGTCATTTACATTTCCAGAGGCCCATAAATCCTTTTCAACAACAGCTGCAAGATCAAAACTAGTCAAAAACAGAACTTTATAAATGGATAACCATCTAATGCTGATAATAGAAATTGCCAAGGGAAAAGTTGACATCACTCCCTTTTTCCCTCCACTCATTGCGTCACCAAAGTTTGGGACCACTGAATATATTCTAAATTTAATTTTGAAGATTTCAAGGTGGACATGTTTAAAGCAAAGAAGGATCAAGCATAATGACACAATGTAGTGGAGAGCAAACAAAAGGGGACTGCAGCAAGTAGACAACAAGGTGACTAGATTACCCAAGATTTTTCTCTGTTCAAAGACCGAGGTAACTCAAACATTTTAACAAGAGTACTAGCAACTTTTACCATGAGTTCAGGAAATTTACCAGTTATAGCCCGGACAGTTTCACTGGAAGCATACTCCTGGATTGTATTGTTGGAAAAGAGAAGCTTAATAAACATAGCTGCCTGAATTGAAGTTTCTGGATCACTGGAACCAATCAGATCAAGTATAACTTGAACTCCACCGGCTTCTGCAACTGCTCTTTTATTTGCTCGGCTGTACGTCACAAGATTCTGAAGGGCGCAGATGGCTACCACTTTCATTTCCTCAGTAGGCTGATCTTCAAGTAGATTAACCAGGGCACGACAAGCTGAAACGGCATCAGCAGAACGGGCTAGAGTCTCATTCTGGAATAGATCACCCAAAGCCAGAGTAGCCAACAACCTTGCCTGCTGACCTTGTGTTTGAGGGTCTAAAAGATATTGAGACAAAGGTAAGATAGCAGATCGGCCAGCTTTTGACTCCCTGATTTTTACATTATTCAGCAACACTTCAAGCAATCTTGCAGAAGTGTCCTCGCATTGATGGCATCTAAGAAGTTCTAACAGAGCTTCAATTGCACCACTTTCAGCCATGGCCTCAGCGCTAGTTGAATCATCACTTTCCAAAACCAGAAGAGCATTCAATGCTCCAGTTACAGTACTTTCTGAACCAGAGTGAAGCAATCTTACAAGCACAGCAATGGGCACTTCCAAATAAAATTCTGAGCTGAATTGCAGAATACAAGACAAAACAGAGGCTGCAGATTCCCACAGAGCATGAGGAAGTGGTGGCTCAACTTGCAATATCACCTTGGATAGCTCAATAACACCGCCCTCCTTTGCGATTTCATTTGGCCAAATAAGTGCAATACCAACAAGAGCCTTAATTGCTCTCTGCTGCAAAATGTGTATCCCAGATCCAAGAGCTTTTACAAGTGGACCAATAACTTGTTGTGTCAAGGAGTCCTTCTGCAAATTCTCCTCCAACAATAAGTGGGATAAAAGTTCAGCAGCCAACTGTTGTACAGCCGGTACATTTGAGTCTAGTAATGGAATAACAGGTTCAATAGCCTGGTGAGTGGTTAAGGTGTGGTCAGCACGACACTGCGGATGTTCTAAAATATTAACAAGAACCTGTAAAGCACTGTGTTGCCCATCTGGGCCAAGGTCTGATCGTGACAGCAACATGAAAAGTGGCTCAACCACTTTAGCTGCCGACGGGCCTTTGGCAATTGTGGCATTATTTGTCAATATCCGTAGCAATTCGGCAAATGCGGCAGAGAGAAAATTAGGTGCTTCATGGAGTATGTCAAGTATGCTTTCGATGACCCCAGCTTTCACCATTTCCGTCTTGCAAGAAGGTCTGTCTTTTCCCAACTTCACCAAAGCTCTTGAAACAGCCTCATGAAGCAAGTAATTCCTGCTGTATAGAAGGCCAACAAGAGGAATGACTGCACCATGAGCTGAAACTAGTTCAGCCAATTGCTCGTCATCCAAGAGCTTATCCAAAGCATGAACAACTGAATGCTGGGCAGGGGTGAATTCTGTAACTAGAAGAGAGACCAATGGCTCAACACAACGTGCTGCAGCTACTGTAGACCTGATTCTTGTATTTGTGAAGAGAACAGAGCACAGCTCAGCAGCATCACCCTTTAACTCCATTGAACAATTTGATGACAGAATTTTGCAAAGAACATCCACTGCACTCATTTCAACATCAGCCACTCCTAGGGCTCTAGAAGGATTTTCACTTAACAGCCTGATCAGTGCTGCAATTGCAGCATGCTGTTCTCTCTCCGAGCCAGTACTTAAAACTTCCACCAATGGCTGCACAGCTTGTCTAGCTGTTTCTGCATTTCTTACATGGTCGGCAGAAAATAAGCTTTCCAGCGCTTTGGCTGCACTGTATCTAGCCGCCCTTCCACCCAAGCGCAAGACAGCTACAAGCTGGGTTACTGAACCAAATGCAGATTCATGCCTGCATATCTCAGCACTACTAAAGAGAATGCCCAACAAATCAGTAGCAGCTTCTTCAGTTGCATCTTGAGGACCAAGTGAAAGATATTTGGTCACTGCCTCAAGTGCTCCTGACTCTACCATCACCATCTTATTTGATGGACAGTCAACCGCAAGCTGGGTGAGAAGCCCAAGAGCAAGGAATGGTGCCCCTGGACGATCAGGAATTGGTTTAAGGAGATCCACAAGGGCAGGTATTGCTTT